GAGTGGAACAGGCAGGAAACAAGCCATTCTAGCATCCCTCTGTCTTCAATGTTCTTTTGCTCCATCTTGTCCTTCCGAAATAGGTTTTTGATTTAAACACCATGGGGTCAAGATGTAGATGACGATGTGCCTCACATTTAGTTTAGGAAAGAAAAGTAGCCCTGATACTGGAATACTCCTGTATCAAGATAGAGTTGGCCGTACTCGTTCTATCCCGTTTCTTATACACACACACTGAAGCCCCATCCTGTTTTGTGACCATGGAATACAATCAGTGTAAATATCAGTGGCAAATGGTCACACGTTAAGAAGTCAGCATAGGCATCTGCAGTTGTGCACCAACTCAAAACTGCACTTGGCGTGCAACACCACATGCCTACACTGACAGCTCAACCTGTGACAATTTGCCATTGAGATTTATGCTGACTGAGTCATGCTGACAGGTGTCACTCAATGGATTCTTCCCAAACATCCAATGGCCTGACAGCAAACAAATCAGAATGCTGAAGCTGACGTTGGTGAGGTGACTTGGTTACTTGAGGCTAACCAGGGCTCAGGGTCACATGCTTGGCCAGAGATAAAGTTTGTATTCTTGCTTTCAAATCAATTGCCAGTAAAAAGGGAGCAAAGCTATCCTTTTTTTCCATGTATGAGTTTTCTTTCACTTATCTTTCTAAACTTACGGCACATTTTGGAAAATGCCGGTAAAATGACCAGAGATGCTGAGCTCCATGTTTAGAAGTGGAGATCCCTTAAATGTAATGTTGTCGATGGTTATGATGATGGCCTGGCACAGCTGTCTCCACCTTCGCATCATGTAAATGAGTGTGGTTTGTTTTGTAATTGGTCATGGCGAAGTAAAAGCACACTTCATATACAAGTCTGACTGCTTTGGCATGCAGCTTTGAAGGAGTCACTGTCAGAGAAGATCTGTTACGTGTTAAACACTCTGTCCTTGTACCCATTAAAATTTGCTTCCCTTGCATCCAGTCTGGATTTGGGCACCAAACTCCATCCAGACACTAGACTGCTTCATTTCATGAGTCATCCATCATTCCTTACAGATGAATTGTCGCTTGTGTTCATCAGCTTCAGAAGTCCTCTTTAATGACTGAGTCTGGAATGCATGATTACAAGAGTGCTTCTGAGCATGCACAGAGTGTGTTTCCCCAGCCTCTAATTTAACACGGCACTACACTGGAGAAAAGGGAGTTTGAGTTCTTGGTCAGATGGCAGATTTCAGTACTAAGTGGGTTGGATTAGCGTATGAAGAGCTACTTGCATACGGTGCTATGAGTTATTCCTTGGCTGTTCCTAAGCTAGAAACTGATTATTTTTTTAGGCAGAGAGGAACATTTTGGTCTGTATGAGTGACTGAAGAGCACATGCTGTTGCTGGCACAAAATAAATGCAATGTTTAAAAACTCTGCACTTATTAAAGAGATGCCATTGAAAAAGTGCTACCCAACTGAAGGCAAGCAATCTATTCCATGGCTAGAATGCATCCAGCCAGGGCTGTGCATATTTACACAGAAGTAAAACCCACTGAATTCTGTGTGGGCCCTGTCCTCAAGTTGAGGACTGTAGCATTAGGAAAAAAAAATTTTGGAATCTGCAACAAAATGTTACTGCTCTCCTTCTGGGTTCTAGGGCACCGCACGTTTGATCCAGCAGATGCAACTGAACCGGCTTGCAGTTTGGCAAGTTGGTCACTGTGGAATGGGAGCACCGTGTGCATGCTCAGATGTACCCTTTTTATTACTGCTTCTCTGATTTGAATCTGAGGGTTTCTCCAGAAAGCACTGCAACACGGAAAAGCCCCATGCTGTTTTTGCTTTTAACATTCCTGTGCTGAGATGATCGGGAGGAGCAAATTAAAATAACCACCTGTGTTCCCTCCATTTTAATTTAATATTAAATTAAACAATAAAGATTGGAAGGGACGGTTTCAAAGTGAGAAGAAGGATCTAGCTAAGACTATCAGGATTTTCAAAAGATGGGATAGAAAATGAAGTACTGGGTGTATCACAGGAATAGTGCATATGCATAGAAAATAAGCAAGCTGCCTTACACGCACTGCACAAGCTGTGTCTCCATCTCTAATCCAGCATCCTTTGACTGGCTTTCTGGGGTCTCAGGCAGAGAAAGGGCTTCCTCCTCCCCATGTCCTTTTAGCAGGAGATGCCCAGGAGGGCTGGACCCAGCTGGGAGCATCTGCATGCCATGTGTATTCTTTTACTATGGAGGCACCTCCCCACCTTTCTGTGGGGAGTGCTTTTCCAGCACATTTCCCTCCAGTGCATCGCACCACATGTCCTTCCTGGGGAAAAAAATTCCTTCAGACCTACTCTTGAGGAACAAATACAATATATGAAAGGCACTCAACAGAAGGCACAAAGAGCAACCACTGCAAACTCAGAGCATGTCAGCGGCTAAGCCCATCAGCGCCTTTGGTCCAGAGCAGGCCTGGTGTGATTGTTGTAACTATGGGCATGTGAGAGAAAGAGAAGCGCCAGCATGTGGTCTCCCTTCACTTAGAATGTAGAACATACAAATATTCTGAAGCAGGCAAGATGGAAAATATCCATACTTATTGAGCAGGGAAACAAAACCAGACTTCTCTTAATATTTATGATTGATCAGAGAATTCTTGTCAACATTTCTCTAAAATGCCTTCACACACTCTTCAAACTTTACTTCTGAAAAAGACTATGAAGGGTTGCCTGTTACCAAAGAGCTGCCAAAAGGCAAATCTGTAACTCCTTGTTCCATCACTTTTAAAGTGTACCGTACATCGTTACCAAAACAGTAACGAGTTACAGTTAAGGATAGTTATACCCCGTCACTTCCAAGGTGGTACGATAAGAATCTGACTTCTGATGCTGGAGCTACCTCACTCAATGGTCTTCAATATTCCCTCCCTCCCCCCCCACCCCCACTTTGCAGTGACAAAGGGATTCCCTTCCGACGGGGTACTGTACGGTTTGTAATTGAAACGCCGGAGAATACACCCGGTCTTTGTAAGATTCCACACAATATGGTTTTGAATCGAAGGACTCTTCCTTCTCCCTCCACGTGGCAGATCCCCACAGACACCTGCCTCGCCTCTTCTCCTGGGCGCCAGGCATCTGCCAGGCGATGATCGCCGCCCGGCCAGTCGATCTGCGCGTGCGCAAAAGCCGGGCACAATAGGCGCTAACAAAGCTCTCTGGATAGAGCGCCGGCGCGCAGTCCGGTTGGTAGAAGATCACTCTTCTGCTGCTGGAACATGGTTTCTATGGCGAGGCGTGTGACAGCTTTAAGGGCCGTCGTTAGTTACAGCAAACGCCTCTAGGGCTGCCGTTCTGAGAAGAAGCCGCACGGAACAGAGCGAGGCTTACTTTTGAGTAAAGGGATCCATAGGATGGGGCTGCGCGTTCCGTTACGCGCAGCCTTTTCCTCATGTGGCTGCTGATCCTGCTCCCTACCCTAGACGTGTAGAGCAGCCTTTGATGGCCCCCAAATTAAGACTGTAGTGCCGGAGAGGGAGAGGAAGGCTACAGGATCGGGAGCGCAAATAGGCCACACGCTCGGATGCGCCTTAGGGAGGAAAGGCTCTCTTGACGGAGCCAGCCGTGGTAAAGGCAGCAAACCCCAAGGCTGGCCTGGAGCGAGTGGCGCCTGCGAGCCAGCCGATCGCGCTCCCTCTGTGGCCCGGAGGTGCCCTCAGGGGAACGGGCAGCCCTTCGCCAACGAAATGCCCAGTTTTGGTGGCGAGAGTTACAGCGTGATCTTTGCAAGCTGCGCGTAACACATTTTTGCTTGGGTGCATCTTGGGAACCCTCTTTGTCCCATATATTTTTCCAATATAACCCAAGCAGAAGGGAAAGGTGGGAACTGGGAAGAAGCTGTGCAACACCTGTACGGGGGGGGGCGCAAACATGGGGAAAGTGTGTGTGTGTGCGCGCGCGAGAGAGGTCAGCCCAGAATTGGATCCCTTGGACCTGCAAAGAAGAACAGAGGGTCTTTCTGAAACGGGGAGAGCGAGTGATTTTGGAAAGGGATCCGAAATGTGGCCACAGAGACCCCACGCCTGCCCTGCCTGTCTAGGGCCCGGGGACAAGGACGCCCACGATCCGAGCGGAGGAAGATGCTTTTTCCCCCCTGATCAGATTGGGGTGCGATGAGGCGGCGAGAGACGCCCCAGGCTGTGGGTGCACGTGCAGGCTTTTTTCCGGTGGCCCCGCGCCCGTGAAGCCGTGCAAAAGATCCCGGGCTGCTCTGATCAGCACCACCAAAAAGTCGGTGCGAGATAGCGGTCAGGATCGCGGGCGGATTCGACGGGACTCACTCACCACCCCCGAGGGGCTCCAGAGAGCAGGTGGCGGAGGCGCAGGGCGAACAGCCACAGCCACGCTCCGCCGCCACTCGCGGTGCCCTTCGGGGGTGGGGGGGTCCCAGCTCCCGAGACCTGCCGCGTGGCTGCCCGAAACCGCCTCGACGGCTCCCCGGCGCTCCTCGTGTCTCCCTGCGCTCAGCCGTCGAGGTCTGAGAGCGGGAGGGGCTTCGGGGGGTGTCTTTTGGGGAGGGAGGGAGGGAGGTGGGGATCGGGGCCCACGAGCCCGCCCCTCTCGCCCGGTCGCCCCCCCCGCTTCTGGCGACCCCCCGGCGACCGCTTTGCGAGAGAAGCCCGGCCCGGAGGGGAGGGGTCGGCGGGCTCAGGTTACAGCTCCGCTGGGGGCCGGGGGAGGACGGAGCCCTGGGCATATACGCGGGCGGCGAGGAGGCCGAGGGGAGCAGAAAGCCGCGGTGCTCCAGCCCAGAGCACACATACACACGCGCCCGCCGGGTTGTTGCGGGCCTCCTTGGTACCTGGGATCCACCTCCTGCTTGTTTCCACCGAAAAAAAGGAGGATCGGCTGCATGAGGGCTCGGTAGCCACTGCCGAGGGGAACTACCACCACCACCATCTCCATCTCTTCCTCATCCACAGACAAGTCCTGCATGTCTAACATTTAGACATGTTCAGCTTTGTGGATTCAAGGACTCTAGTGCTCCTGGCAGCCACGCAAGTCATTTTATTAGCAGTTGTCAAATGTCAGGATGAGGATATACGTAAGTTACACCTTTCGCCTCCTCCTCCTGAAAGAGGGTGCAAAGAAACTCGGCTGGGGGGACAGGTGGCGGTGGGGAGGGTGTGCAGGAGGAAAAAGGTCAGGAATAAAGATCCTTCTGGTTCTGCTGTGCTTGACAAGTTTGTGGAACTAAACTTTCTGGACAGAGCCGGCCTGCCTTGGGTTTCTCTTCCTCCATCTCTCGCAGGATGCTTGCTTTCCCATCCAAGCCTCTGCTGGCTCGTCATCTCGATTAATACGAAGTCCTGATGGGTGTCATGGGTTCGAAGGCTCTTTTCTATTCCCCCCTAAGGCTTGGGTGCGGGAGAAGAAGGGGCTGCGCTGACCCCAACCCTCGCTTCGCACCGATTTCTCTTCCCTTTGGTTTGCCGGGAATGGGGCTGCTGGTGGTGGAAGGGGTTAGGGGTCTTAAAGAATTGGCTTGCAACTCTTCTGTGCTTCTACCCAAGATACTTGTGAGATGTGTGTGTGTGTGGGGGGGGAGGATGAACAGGCAAACGAGGAGGACAAAATAATACTTGGGCGGCTTGGGTGGTGGCGGTGAAAGAGTTAACTGAATAATTATGGAGGGGATTCAAAGGGGAGCCAGACAAAAGAGAAAATTCCGGGGCGAACAAGCAAGACTTTAATTTCTGCCCACCCCCCTCTTTTTTCTCTCTTCTAAACAAAGGAAGATCTTTGTGCACACCAAATCCAGCCTCACACTCTCCTTCCCCCAGTTGATTTAGTGATGTGGAGTAAGGTGCAGATGGAGGTCCCCTGGGAATCTGATATCTGACAGATATATATTTTTTTTGGTCATGGAAGGAGCAGAAAAGAAAATTTCCCCCAACTCAAGAGGCCACCTGAGGGGTGCAATGCATTCCAGAGGCACATCAGTCCGTTTGTTCTACTCTCTCTCTCTCTCTTCCCCCTTGTGTGCACTTGCACATGCGCGGGGGCACACACAGGCACATACTTAAACTAGGGGAGGGGAAAGTCCTCCTACCAAACTGAATGGTGGAAGAGATGCAAAATCCTTGTTGTGCAAAAATGCCCACTTCCCCCTGTTGCCAAAATAGGGGTGGGGTGGGAATTTTTTTTTATCCAATTAAGCTTGTCACCAGTAATTGCAAACTTTGACTGGGAAAGGCATTTTTTTTAAAAAAAGGCAGCCTTCTCCCTTCCCCCTACCTAGAAAGCTTTTGTTGTCTGGCATATTATTCAGAGATGGAAGATGGAAACTTTATTAGGTAGAAAGAACTGGTGTGCGTGTGTTTTTAAATTCCTTTGGGCAGGTTTCCCTATTGCTTGAATTCCATCTCTGCTTCCATATGCTCCAGACTGTAAATCAATTGCAGGGAATAGAGCTTGAAGGGAAAAAAAGGAATGGAATTCCTTTTATTCACATGTAGGAGTCTTTGGAAGCTGAGTTTTCCAAGTTAGAAGCAGAAAGGGCCCTGCTACGTTCAGGTTGGCATAGTGGGGTCTGCCAGAAGGAGGGCTTGTAACACTGCTAGTTGAAAGATCCTGTGCAGTCTTCCTTTCTTCTCCTGAATCTTTTTCTTGCTGGGGGTGGGAAATTTTTTTTAAAAAAAGATGCAAACCAGCATAGAAAATGGTGGGAGGGTTAACAAAGACAAGGGATGGCATCTGAAGTTCCTGAATGGGGCAAGGTGATTGTGCAAAAAGAGAGGCTTGTCTGGAAAGGAACTATGCTTTTTGGAGTTGCTTTGTAGTGTTTATTTATAGTCAACTCTTTTCCTCCACCACCTTTCTCTTTAACCGCTGCACTGTGGTGTCTAAAAACGACATTAAGCTTAGCACTCCCTTTCACACCATTGTCCACAGTGGTTTGTGCTAAAACAGAGTATCTTTTAATTTCCAGAATCTTGTGGCAAAGAAGTAGGGAGTTTGTCACCACATGGCCTTAAAATGTTTCTCTCTTAGTATTTAAAAAAAAGTGCTGTATTCATATTAGCCAGGGGGAAAAAAAGAGAGCAAGTTGACATATATTGGCTTTCTGGTTATTTTAATCCTCATGCATCTTTTTACCTGGGGGAGGAGTCTTGTCTTTAATTTTATTTTTATTTATTAATTTATTTTAAGAACTGTTCTCTCTCAGGTCAGGGAGCACGCTGAATTCCCGCTCTGTGAAAGTTTGTTTGCATTTGGCAGCAATGGCTTCCAGATGCTGAAAGGCTGCCCATATTTATTTAAACTAGTCCCTAACAGGGCAATGTGAATCGCGCTCTGTGTGTACTTGAGAAAAGGCCCATTCATGAGAGGATGGGTCCCTTGGGCTCCTGCAGGCTCCCTGGCCCCATGCACAATAGCCCCCCTGTCATCTTGTGACTGCTGTCAAAGCCTTCATGAGGACATTTCAGAAAAAAGGAGGTGGGGGAAAGTATGTGCCAAAGGGGCAGGTTTTTAATGGGTTTCTGCTGACCCTTTCTCCACTGAGAATCATTTCCATTTAATGGCCATAATGGGAGATAAACATTGCCAGCTGTCCTGATTAGAGCAACAGAGTCCATCACTTTCTCTGTCCTCTAGTCGCAACGCATCCACTTCTTCACCCACTGCCATAAGCTTCACCAATGATCTGACCTTAGTTTGGTCTGCTAGCTTCTCTTTTTTAAAAAAAAAACCCCAAACTTTCTTCTTTAATTGGAAAAACAACTTTAGCGCTCTCTTACACAGAACAGAGTCAGCTAAGGGTCATTGCAACTTGTTAGATGTGGGTTTTACTCTGCTGCAGACATTCCATAAATTGGTTCCATTCCAGTACTGGGTTTGGAAGGGTGTTAATTCCAAGTAATTCCCCATTAGTTGTAGTCGGTAGTCAGAGGTGGCAAACGGAATCAAAAGGAGAGATTTCGAATAACACTGTTCTGACTGGCATCTTCAAGAAATAGCTTAGATGGGTTGTGGGCATAGCTAGCACAAGAACGGCTCCCAGTTAAGTCACATGATATGCAAAGATGGGATTAGAGGAGATGCCGGTTCGGCATCTAGGCCTCCATGTGGGCATTCAATACAATGAAGGGATCGCTGAGACAGAGAAGCAGAGTGAATAGATTGTTTGAGGTTCTTGATCCTCCTGTGAGCTTAAACCAAGCCACACAATTCTTCCTTTTGTGGATGCAGATGTATCAGGCATGTGTTAAAGATGAGCTAGCATTAAGACAGAAAAGAAGGCTCTAAAAAACTATGATTTGGATCTAAAGTTGCTAGATGCTCTCTTTGGAAGTGGCATCCCATATATGGGGCCCCATACACAACCCTATATCTGACAAGGTGTGTTTTAATGTAGCAGACTTAGACTCAAAGAACTATTCTACGGGGAGGGGCTTGGGCAAGTGACTTGGACACCCTTGTCCTAACCTTACAGGTAACTGTTCCCTTAGCCAGAGATGAGAAAGTGAATAGAAAAGGACTAACAGTTTAACATCTTACATTTATCACAATAAGATCTCATAAACTGTAAACCGTTATTCTTATTTTAGAACTTGAAATTTAAAATTCAGTGTCTATCCTAGCTCATATGTTACAAAGTCTACCATACTCATTTTACCTAATCAAAAAGAGGTTAAACTAGGCCTCATTTTACAAGAAACCATTGCCTTATTGTTTACCTCAGAAGTTCCCAACCTTGGGTCCCCAGGTGTTCTTGACTAAAACTCCCAGAAGCTTTCATCACTAGCTGTGCTGGCCAGGATTTCTGGGAATTGCAGTCCAAGACCATCTGGGGACCCAAGATTGAGAAGCACTGATTTACCTCATAGGGTTGGTAGGGAAGAGAGATAAAATGAGAAGTATTAAGATTTACCTGTATTGTGCTATAAGGACTGGGTGGAAGGAAACTTAAAGACTCCTGCAATATTCTCTCACCTGCCAAAGCTTTACATGGGTTTGCAAAGAAATGCAGTCAAGTGGCATCATTGCAGTAAGAGCTGAGAGATACAGTATTTCCGGAAAGGAAGGGAAAGAGGAAACAGCTAATAAAAGTTTTTTTTTTAAAATTATTATTCACTGTTCACCAACATATTCTCACAATTTTGAGAAAGAAGAAGAAGACAACATGTTCTTGAATGAAGCCTGCCTGGTGGTAGAGGCGGGACTCCATGGTGTGGTTATGACAGGATTGCTGTAACCAATGCTGATGATATGACCCTGTTTCTTTCTCTTTCTCTCTCCCTCTCTTCTGATTTTGCTTCCCCTCCCTTTTTTAAAAAAAACCTCCCTTCCCTGCTTCTTCCTCCCCTTTCCTCCCTTCTGGCGCAGAGGAGGCAGGCAGCTGTGTACAGGATGGGCAGAGGTATAGTGATAAAGATGTGTGGAAACCTGAGCCCTGCCGGATTTGTGTCTGTGACACGGGGACGGTCCTGTGCGACGACATACTCTGCGAAGAACTGAGAGACTGTCCCAGCCCTGAGATCCCCTTCGGAGAATGTTGCCCCATCTGTCCAACTGACCAGCCCACCGCCAGTGATCGTAATTTATTTATTTCCCTTCCATATAAATAAATTACTTGCAAGATAAGAGCAAAAGAGGAATGGTTGATATAACATCCATGGATGCACCCTCTGGGGCATCCATGAAAAAAAAGCCTACTTCTAGGAAAGGCTACTTCTTGGGATTAATCATGCCGCTTGCTTTAAGGTGTAGAAAAATATACATTAGTAGCTTAATCTGAACTGCAGATAGGTGAGGGAAGAGGGTTGGGCAGCATGGCTGACAAGTTATTAACTTGCCTCAAACAGCCTTGCCGACACATCCATGAAATATGAGCCAGACCTTTTGGTGTCAGTTGTTGGTGGCACATTGGTGGCCTGAAAGAAGGAAATCATTAAGGAATTATTTTTTTACTTGATGGAATGATGGATAATTCATGCGTCCGATCTCTGGGGAAGGACCGGCTCCCCAGACACAACAATGAAGCTCTGAACCATGTCTTTCTGTTTCTCCCCTTACTATGGCCCACTAGATAATTTTTTAAAAAAGCAACAACACTGAAATGTTTAAATTCTTCACAGAGCTAATTATATCTTACTGTAGTTTTCTTCACTATACACAGTGTTTAACTGTGATTTTTTTCCTGTCAGAAATTATAGGGTGATCTGGATAAGGACAGCCCCTTTACAGCTCCACTGAGACAGAAGAAAGTCTAATTAAATAATTATCAAATGGCAAAACCTCTTCCTTCATGGGAACCTCTAAGTACAGGCTGTCCTATTCCGGACAATTGGGCAGCTATAAAAGTCCACAGAAATCAATGGGGCATGCCCACACTTAACTGTGACCAAAGTTAAGTCTGGTGTTTGCAACCCAGAGAAAGTTTAGTGATTATAGCAATGATGCTAATGCTAAATTTGTGTTTATACTGAGTTTTAAAGTTTACAAAGTTGCCTTGTGTACATTATTTCAGCAATAGTGTACCAAAGTCTGATTGAAAACAATGGAATACAATCTCCTAAATCCTGTTAAGGTCAATGTGATTTAGGTATTTATTATTCCTCCCCCCCGCCCCAATTACTCACAACTCTACATGGTCAGATGTAGAACACTCCTGATTGTAGTATGCATTTGCTTTAGCATCTTTTTCTTAATGTGTTGATCAAAGATGTCGAAAAATTTTTACAAGGGGAGAGAAATCTGTATCCCTCCACATATTGCTGACCAGTAATCAGGAAGGATGGGAGTTGAAATCCAGCAGTGCCTTGAAGGCTACATGTTTCTCCTTTCTGGTGTAGGAGTTAGTGATATGGGCAAAGGAGGTGGTAGAACCAAAGGGCTAGCCTCCATTTTGATGAACTCTTTCATGGAAGATGATGGCAGAAAATGTGTTTTGCTCCTCCTACTTTTTAAGTTGTTCTGGCCTGGAGCCATACTGCGCTTCTTAAAAAAATAGATCTCAGAGCCAAGAGGTCAATATTCAGATCTGAGAGAAAATAACAAGTCAGGGCCTGGCTTTCATACCTGAGACATTGGGAATAACTAATAATGTTTCCCTGCCTCAAGGTGCGCTGGGATGGTGCGGGGGTGGAGGGTATGCGTGAGATGCTTTGCAAAGGGGTTGAAAAATTCAGGCCAAACTTCTTTCAGGCACCAAAAAGTGCGTCTTTTTTTTTAAAAAAATAATGGTCATAAGTGTAGCCTAGGAGTTATGTTGCAATTCGGTGAAGTGGCCTTTTTTAACCCTTTCACCTCTTCTGGCTGCTTGCCTTTGAGGTTCTTCTGACTGAAAAAAAACAAAAAGGCAAGGTTGCCATTATGAGTGAAGGGTTGAGTTGCACAAAAGTTAATAGTGTCTCTTGTGTGCATATTTGTGTGCTGTCAAGCTGAATGCGGCTTTTAACCTCTGCATTTTGTGTTGTGCGTGCCTTATAAAGCAGCAACCTATTTCCCCTGTAGCGGTGGCTCCATGCGCAATGAGAATGCTTTAGAGATTGGTCCAGCCGTGTATGGGTATCAACACGACCCACTGATTTGAGATTCCTGTGAGGGGAGCTCTTACGAAAGTCGGTTTAGGTTTTGCACTCAATCTGGGATTTGCAGTCTCATCCTGAGCATGGTTGTTTGGAAGCAAGTCCCACTGAGTTCCTCAGGACTTGGTCTCAAGTATATGTCCATAGGCTTGCAGGACATGGCCACGTGTACTTGTACACAGGATCATGAATAGCCACTGCTGCTTTGATAAACAGAGCTGTAATCCCTGTGGCGTGAAATGGCATTAAACTGAAAAGACCTACTGCAGAATGGCTTTGAACTTAGCAATGAATGGCTTGGAATCCTATTCTTTTCGCTGTGCTTTCCTGCTTGTCACTTTGCATGGGGCCTCCCACTCCCCTTTGCAGGTAAAATTCCTAGGCATATCATTTCCTTGGGGTGTCAGCATCTCCGACACAGCGGTGACACTTAGCAGATGAACTTAGAAAAGCAATACCTCCCCACCCCCATCATTACCATCTAGACATTTTCCTCCCTTTGTCTTCCTGCCTCCTTGTCTTATTTGTGTGCTTCTAGTATGTACAGATAAAAGTATTTGTTCGTATATTAAAATGCTCGTCTAATTTATTGAGATTCTAATGTTTTCTTTCTCCCCCTTCCCCTATCTTTCTTGCTCTTAACAGGGCAACCTGGCCCCAAGGTGAGACATCTGAGTGCTATTAATTACAACAATTCTATTATTGTCTAGTAAAGCTGTTGGCTTTGTTGAAATGCTTCAGCTCTTGTGCCTTTAACAATAGTTTAATTCACATATTTGTTTATTTATTTATATCTATTTTGTTTTCTATTCTGCCTTCTGATTTTGCCTTTAAGAGATGGGATATGTGTAAATGTTTAGCACTGCACCCCAAAAAAGCTTCATTTACCTCCCCCCCCCAATGGAGCTACTAGGACAGATAGTCATTGTAAGTTTTTGCAGAATCTAGCAGTCTCTTGGGCATGAAATGTTAAGACATTCTTACCTTGTGAAAAAGCTGAGACATTTGCTTAACTTCAGGCCAGTGAATACTTCCATTGACTTCAATAAAAACCGATCCATTCTTCAGGGTATGGTTAGGCATTTCTGTTTCACTAGATGGGAGGCCAAATGCTTTCCTTCCCTTTCAAGTCCATAGGCCCCAAAAGGCCTGCCCACAATAGTACAGTACAGCTATTTATGCAGAGTCTGGTTGTAAACAGAGGTTAACGTTGTGCTAAGGTGTTTGTATGCAATGCCAAGATTTGGTGTTTTCCTTTTTTAAAAAAAGTTTTTAATTTGTACTTACACTTTGCTTTTTTTTTAAGGGACAAAAAGGAGAACCTGGTGATATTAAAGATGTAAGTCTCAAGTTTGCTGTGTTCTCCATCTCCCGTAACCCTTGAAAGCTGGCAGTACAACATGCCTTTCTGACTTTTTGTGTGCTTTTCTTCTTTCTTTCATGTCCAGGTTGTAGGACCGAGAGGACCTCCCGGACCACAGGTAGGATGTTGCCCCCCACCGTGACATTGGTTAAAGAATATGGAGAAGAAAGCCGCCTCCTCAACAAAACAAAATGAAAACAAAACAAAACAAAAAAAACCCCTTTATTAACATTTTAGTGAGTTGTCTGTCATTACTTTCTGCAGGGACCTTCAGGTGAACAAGGACCCAGGGGAGAACGTGGAGATAAAGGAGAAAAGGTAAGACCAGATTTTCTTCTTCAGTCTTTGCATTCCTAAGCAAACATACCCGAGAGTAAAGCATATCAAATGCAGTGGGATTTTACCTCTGAGGAAACCTGCATAAAGTGGTGCTGTGTGAGAGGGCTAAATGTATCAGATTGACTATCAGATTAGTTAACCACAAGACAGGTGGTTGAGCTGACTTACAGGTGTGGAGATGTCATGTTAAAATATTACCTTTGTCACAAAGATTTTGGAAAGTAATTCAAATAGTTATGCAGGGTATGCAGAGAGGGCCTACTAACCTTGACTTGGTACCTTTTGTACCTATCTGTGTAGGGACCTAAGAGATCAATATGTTTTGGATTGTGATCTAGTGCAATCGATAGTGCTGGATAAGGAATTAGTGAAAACTCAACTTCATATCTCTTCTCATGCCCCTGAGGGAACTGTTGATTCACCCTTGACAGTAGCTGCTTCTCAGCCTAATTTCCATTTGAAGGGGTAAAATGTGGGGGAAGAGGAAGAGCACTCACTGAGCAGCTCGATGTAAGAAGGATGGAACAAAAATGCCATTAAGGAAATATTACTCAGTCAAAGGTGTTAAGAAAGGAATACAAACCAATGGCATTGTACCATAGTCTACAGGAATTGAAATGAAAACCTGGAGCAGCAGAATATTCTGTGTGTGAAAAGAAAAATTCCTAGCAAGATTTGTGGATTAAAACATACCGCCCAGAATCCATTTGCTCCACCTCCATAGTCCTGGGCAATCTTCAGCTTGCCGTCATACCAGTGGCGATCACTCCAATGTAAAGAGCAGGGCTTACACTTTTACGAGATGGCTGGTATACCTACAGAATAACATGCTGAACTTGCACAAATTCTGAAAGTGTCAAGTAGATCCCACAGGGTTCTGGGCACTATTGTTTACAGTCTTGTAAACAAATCCACAAAAAGTTCCATAGCCATAAAACTGGGTTACTGGACCATTTGTTAACACACACGTTCATAGAAGCTATTTGTGGAACACTGCAGGCCTTTAAAAAACTTACTTCCCAGTTTATAAAAGCTTCTCTCACTGGTTGCTTGGAAAAAATGCTTGCTCACCGTAGGTGCCTAGGTGAGGGGATATTTAGAGATGTGGCATACTTAATAGCGCAGGGAAGGCCTTACAGTTAGTCAATTCCAGTAATCTGCTCTGGGTGCTTGATGTCTGATGCGTATAAAGAAGTTTCCCCTTTATAGCGACGTGCACGTTTATTTCTGTAGCAAGGAAGTTCTTTATTTACATTTTTGCACACATCGCAGTGTTTCATCCATCACAGTGTTTCATCCATTGGCTACAACAGCATGAGGAAGAATTCCCTGACCACATCACATTTCTGGATCAGAGACCTTTTTTACTGCACAACATGCAACTGTAGGCTGCATGAATAGAATTATTGTTTTAAAGTCCAAAGATGTAATAGTTCAACTCTATTATGCACTATTCAGACTTTATCTGGAGTACTGTGTCTAGCCACTAGCCCTGAATGTTGTACTTCAAGAAGGATGTGAGTAGACAAAATTGAACAGGTTCAGAGGAGGGCAGCAGAGACAGTGAAGTGCAGAAATTAAATCCTGTGAGGAAATCGTAAAGGAATCGGCTAATATTAGAGGCTTAACAATATTCTTCAGATGCCTGACAGGCTGTTGTCATAAAGAGGGCAGTTCTCTCACTGGTTGCTTGGAAAAAAATGCTTGCTCACCATAGGTGCCTAGGTGAGGAGATATTTACAGATGTGGCATACTTAATAGCCTGACAGGCTGTTGTCATAAAGAGGGCACAAATGAGTTATTTGGTGCTCCAGAGAGTAGAACTAAATACATTTGGCTCAGGTTAAATGTAGGCAGAATACGGCTGAACATTAGAAGGAACATCTTAACATTAAAATCACGGTGGCAATAAAGCCAGTTACCGAGTTGGGAGCCAGATATGCTTAAGAGAAGAATCTGTATACTGTACTACTGAGCCTGCAAGCCTACAAAATGTCTTAAGTCATTGATCCCACTTGGCGTCCCTCCTCAAAATCCGAAATGATTCTGACTGACCTGCCACGGCAACAGTACAAGATGGGAGTTGTTACATCAGTGTGGCATAATGGCTTATTATGACCTTGTTGCTGTTTAGTTGATACACCTTTCAGTATTTTGGGTGTGTGGCTATAATAGTTTTTAGGATTGGTCATTACAGCTTGATTGAATTAGTGGGGCAGAATTAATGGTAGACTAATGAAGGCTACATCCCTACATAGATTTTCTTGACTTCTTCTTAAGTAAATGTGCATGGATTGGGGCTATAACATGCAGTTAATAATTACTGACATAGGGTTAGCTGGAACTGCGTACTTAAAATGGCATTATCTGTGGTATAAGAGTGTGAATATGATTGCTGACAATTTGACTTCTCCAGGAATGTTTCCTTCCTATTTTAATTCCTGTTCTTATTGATAGGGTGCTCCTGGGCCACGTGGCCGAGATGGTGAACCTGGTACTCCTGGCAATCCTGGGCCTCCCGGACCCCCAGGTCCTCCTGGTCCCCCTGGCCTTGGTGGAGTGAGTATCCTCAACTTGATTCCATTGCCACCCCCGGTTGCTGCATACCAAGAAGTGTGGTTACAGAAGGGGATGAAAAGAGCCCTTTCACTCCGCTGCCTATCAAGAATTCCTTGAGTTCTAACTGGGGAAAATCCTTGATTCATTTCAGCAGCCTAAATAGTGTTTGCTCCCTCCTTCCCCTCCCCTTTTTATTGGTAGCTGCAAAGTAGTTGTATAATCTTGTTTTAGAGAAGCCTCCCCACTCCCACCCCTTTAAAGGGCATGACAGCGTGATGGCAAGTAAAAGGGGACAAAGTTCTTCAGAAGATAGGTATCATGATTTTTCCCCATCCAGCCAGCAATGCACAGCTGCAGAAGAGCCGGTGGTAGGCTTGGTTTACAGTGTGATGCAACAGGCCAGACCACTGCCTCCGCATAAACAAAACATGTCTATCTACCCCAGAATCCTTTGTAAAACAGAGGGGCTCCATGGCAAACCTATAGTAGTTCCCCTGCAGGCCAACTAATGAGTTTTCTCAAGGTAGAAAGTCTCCGCATTATAGAAAAATGGAGGATCCAAGTGGGCGTAGAATTGGCTTAAGGACTGGACACAGAATTAGGTGCTCAAAAACTACAATTGATTTCAGAGCCTTCTCTTCCTTTCTCTTGTACCTGTACCGCATTTTGAGCCACATCTTCATGGGTCATTTTCACATCTTCATGGGTCATTTTAAATTTGTGCCTAGTTAATGGCACCCAGCCAGTCTAGGTAACTTTAGCTCCGGAAAGTTTGGGGGTTGGTGGACTTCGTTTGTATTAAGAGTTGCCTCGGCCCATTGTGTGCATCTGTTAGGAAAATAGGTGTAGAAATTCATATTCAGCTATCCAAATAATGCATGCCATCCCACACCCAACAGTTATCAGTCAGTCTTATTCTGCCTTTTAACCCTAGGGCAGGTTTTGGAGCAAACCAGTGAATGGTGAATCTGAGCAACAATGGACACTGTGTTGCTGGATTTCTTTAAGAAAACATTTTAGAGTTACTGACATGCTTTTGTTTCTGTCCTTAGTCAATTTGAAAGTCACACGGTATCAAAGAAATGCATATTGAACCTTAAGTGCCATAGAATATGTGCCAGTCTTTTGTTATGTGGTTTCAGCGACTAATAGAATTTTTCAGCAAAATAGCTGTGTCAGTTCATTTCAGCAGGTGTAGAGAATAAAAATAAAATAAAATAAAAAAATAAAAAAGGCTTGTGGTGCCTTAAGGATAACAGCTAAAATAAAATTGACCCTAAAATATATTAATTTTAAAGATGTCGTAAGCATTTGTTTTGGATTTATTATGCATACTAGCAATTCGGATGTGCTTTACTCCAAGAGTATGCTCATAAAGCCACATTTCCTTATTCCGGATTAATTTAGTTTAGCTACAGATTCTTAACTTTTATTTATGGTCAATGACAAACAGTAGATTTGTGATTGTTTTAATATGAACACACATTGAAAAGAGTGGAAAACACCCTCTCTTGTCATTTTAAACATATAATTTTTTTATGTTTACAAAGAGATAATAAAAATGCCCACAAAATATTAGCCAGTCTTGAGATTGTACTTTTGGACATGGACTCGGGTACTGAGGTACATTTATAGATTTGCTGCATATATATACGGAATTAAGGGAGAAAACTGTTGGAACCATCATACTGAGCTCTAAATGTTGGGGCTGGTGATGGTGTCGATGCTGATTTCTGAGGGTCTTAACCACACTTCCTTCAAATGTCCTTCATTGCCTGAGATTTACTGGGTACAATGAATAAGTTCTTGTCATTTGAAGCAGCTTGAGCAAATCTGGTGAAACCGTTGCATTGGTTTCTATTGTTGTTGACCTTATTTTCTGTTACAACAGAGAATGAGACTACAGTATGGCTCAAGTCCTGCCCATATAGCTTTGTGCAATAGAATCTGATGGTGCCATTAGCTTCCACCACTAATATTTATTTTAATTAATGTAATGCTTTCTGTCATTTCGTTTTGGGTTCTGAGGTTTCTTAGAGCTCTTTTTTGCCCCGAGGAAGCCTTTGGGAGCCTTGAGACCACGGAGTGGCAGAAGTCTTTAATCACCAAAAATTGTGGCTGGATTGCTGCCACCAGGATCAGGATCACCATGAGTGAAGGGTGGTGATTTTTGACAATTAAAGTCTCCTCCTGCTCTTGCTGTCCCAAAGGATTTCCCAGGGTGAAAGAAGCCCTAGGGCTTCAGAAAACATGAGCATAGGATGCATTTCCTTAGTTTTAAACAGATTTTAATGGTGCTAGCTGATGGTGTCATCTGCTACCTGTCATCCACTACCACTGCATCAAGTTAGGTGAACAGGATTTTGGCCAATCTAATAGGGTGATCACCTATAAATTGCAATTTAGAGAAAGCTTTTCCTGAGTCCATGATTTATTTCCACAGATACTGTCCAGTAAGGTTTTCCCATGGATAGAAAACATGTGAAAAAGAGAAGCCATTTGCCCTAATTTCTTTCTTAGGGATACGGGTACAGCTGCCCATCAGATATTAGAGGAGAGAGTTTTGAAAAAGCCTTCTCGTGTTCCTTATTGTACAAATGTTCTTCACGTTCCACATCTCACTGAAACTGGGCATGCTTTTTTTTGCACGTTCTCTTTTGCAGAATTTTGCTGCTCAAATGGCTGGAGGATTTGACGAGAAAGCAGGTGGTGCTCAGATGGGCGTGATGCAAGGACCTATGGTAAGGCCCTGGAGCACCTCAAAGTCCTGAGAGAAGTCTCTATTGATGTATACTAATGCCACTGTCGGGGAATGGTTTCTCACAGATTATCCTGGGAATCATACAATAATGTTGAGAAGACTCTTGAAGGAGATCCTCACTGGACTGTCCTTCCCAAGGTTAACTTAAGACAGTTTTTGCAGTGGGCTCTTAAGGGCCTGAGACTAGACATTCAGTGTTACTGGACCTTAAGCTGGAAAAGGTTGGGTATACAAACCAAGAATTATGTTATGCCGTGTCTCACCTTCTCGTGTGCTGTGTGTAAACTGGAAAATGGTGGCGTTAGTGGAAAGGGAGGCCCTTTGTGGGTTTCTCAGCCTTGATAGAATGCTTCATTTTAAAGCCTGTAGGAGCCAACCCATCATAGGGAGAGGGAATGATTATTAAATCTACTAAGAACTTTGAGGTAAATAAACCCTGAGTAACCTGTCATGGCAAGTGCTTTCTTTTGGACTGAAAAAATGCTCAACAGAATGACACAGTTCGCAAAAACACAGAGAAACTAACAGAACCAGGATGACTTCTAATGTCACCCTTTATGTAAAAAATAAAATAAAATTATAAGAACCAGGATGACTTCTGTCAGGGACAAGAAGCTGGGGACCAAATTCCATCCCCAGTACCGCCCTGCAGGAGCTGTGCTTAGCCCAGAAGTGGGCAAAAAGGCCCCAACCCTAAAAAAAAAAGAAAGAAAGAAAGAAAGAAAGAAAGAAAGAAAGAAAGAAAGAAAGAAAGAGAAAGAAAAAAAGAAAGAAAAAAAGAAAAGAAAAGAAAAGAAAAGAAAAGAAAAGAAAAGAAAAGAAAAGAAAAGAACTAGACCATTTCTGTTCTTCATTCTGTGGTAGGCAGGTCTTGAGGTCAGGAACACGAGATTCCACCCATGCAGAAATGGTGACTCCTGGGTGCCTCCATGAGTAAAATTAACTCCAACTTTACCCCATTAAATATATATATATATATATATATATATATATATATATAAGGATATATATAAAACAGTTTTAGCTCACTGGGTACATCATGGCCACTCCTGTGCTGTAGACATTTCTGAGCATTCTCATGGTTCAGGAGTCCAACTAGACAAGACACAAAGCTCCCATTCAGTGCTCGCATTTTCCCTTCAGCAAGGGAATTCCCTTCACTCTGCATGCTTAAACAGCCAGACTTGTAAATTAAACCGGTGTATGCCTCTGATGAGGCATCCAAAAGCAAAGCAACTTAATTTGCAGGATTCAGAGTGAGGAAAACTTGTGCTAGGACTACCAGATGGCTTTTTCCCATCTAAAAGAGTTCCACTTCAAAAAATGAGCCAAGTGTGTTATCTTGTCTGACCTTCCGCCATTTTGAAAATTGGAACTCATGCACACCTGAGCTGTAGTCCTTACTAGACATGGGGATGAATAAAAAACAAATTTTGATATTTGTTTTAAAAAAATCTTCATCCCTTTGTATTTGTGAGTTCCAGAGAAAAAAAATCTTCATCCCTTTGTATACGTGAGTTCCAGAGACCCTGATGAATATGAAGGGACGAAGATTTGTCCATTTTATTCGTCCCCCATACAAAGAGAGGGAAGGCTAGCCTTCTATCTCTTCCTGTGGCCTTTCCATTCTGCCTATGGGCCCACCGATCAGCAGCCAGCCAGCTCCACGGCCTATCCCCCATCCCCTTCCCTTCCCTCCCTCAGCCTCTGCCACCATCTGCCACTGCCTGGTGCTGCCATCACCCATTGCTGGCCTCCGCAGCCATGGCCTGCCATAAGGGACACTGGCTGCCCTTTGCAAAGATGGTGGCTTTTAGGGCAGGAAATTACAGCCACCATCTTTGCAAAGAGCAGTCTGGATTTGGGGTAGAGAGCATGTGGCCTTCCAAATGTACCGCAGCTCCCATTAGCCCCAACAGTCACAGCCAGTGGTGAAGGGTTATGGGAAATATAGTCCCTCCCCCCCAAAAAATAATGGGATATCCACATATTCTCCACCAGTGCAATATGAGTGGTTCCTTTCCTGAAGTAAAGCTAAAGTGACATCCAAGTTACATGAACACCGCTAAATATGATTCATGAAAAATAAATTTGTTTCCAATTTATTTCCAATTACTTTTTTTGTTACCCTCTGCCTTTTTTTCTTTCCTTTCCTTTCTTTTCTTTTAAAATTAATATAAATCTTTTTCTTTTAAATTGCTTGCTCTGAGATTGCTCAAGCTGTTTAAGCAGGCTGGTTTAATGCAAAAGCTATGCTTTTTTTAAAAAAATGGCTTTGGGCCTTTTACAACCCTTGCCAGAACTTCCTGATCCATGTGCCAAAATAGATGATTATAGACAGAGAAGTAATAGAGAGATTTGTTTAAGGGACTGGGTCGCTGTTGCCCTTGGATCAAGGACTAGAGTGTGCAAAGACAGACAGCAGCTACTGTTCTTCAAGATCCCGCAAGACCTCCAGCAGGAAATTTCTGCTCTCCAGCATTTCTTGGCAAGCTGTAAATGAAATTCAGGCTTAGTAAACATGGATGGTTTCCAAAAGAAAGCAAGTGTGTGTATGTGTTTTTTTTTTTCCTTCTCCTTCTTGTGCCTCGGAGTGACTTCTATAAATAAAAATAGTCCTGGATGGTGCACAGAGAGAAAAGGAGAATTAAAGGCTTCACGTCCAGCAGAAGCTATGGAATTAGCCTTTCTCTGGTGCTTTGTTTTCATGCAACTGAGGCTAAGTGTCTCTCTTGCATTAGAATTGGACCACGTCTCGTAATGATACTATTTTTTTTTAACATTTTTCCCATATAGGGACCTATGGGACCACGAGGCCCTCCTGGACCACCAGGCTCTCCCGTAAGTATAAAGATCTTTCACCCTGCATGTGTGATTCATTGTGTTTGATAAAGAATATAAAAGGGGAGGCTTGTCTTTTTCCAAGGCAACCGTTGAAGATGTTTCTGTAATTTTCTTTCAGGGCCCTCAAGGTTTTCAAGGCAGTCCTGGTGAACCTGGGGAACCTGGCACCGCTGTGAGTATTTAAGAAGCATTATAACCTTTGCCAGATGTTGGGCACACAAGCCCATTTATGTTGCAGATGACTCGCACACGTCGTCATTTGTCTTGTTTCTCAGAATTCTTCCAGGTCTCCTCTTGGCAAGAGCCAATCTCCAGCCAGGGGCAGGACCCTCAGAGGCATCCCTCTGACTTTGTAAAGTTGGGTTCTTAAAGGGAAAGCATGGTATTGAGACAGTTTTCCCCCCTCCCTCTCTCATAATTAGTCCTTGATTAGCAAGTTTGGAGAGATTCCTTTATGCGACAAGAGAAGTCCTGCTGAATTAATTGTAATGTAAGGAAGTTTAAAGGTTAGGAGGAGTTCAGTTCTCCCACTATGTCTTAGATGAGAAAAGCCAGCCTCTATAGCCTTGGGCAGGCTACACAGAACCACAGTGCCCCTGGAAGACGAGAATGGTAAACCCCTTCTGAGTACTCTCTCTTCCTAGAAAACCCTGGAAAAGGGTTGCTGTAAGTTGGAATTGGCTTGATGGCATGCAATTGTTAGTAGGTTAGACCTTTGCAAGGAGTAATTGATGACTAGTTATGAGTATGAATGTTAGGAGAAGAGCTAGTGGGATGAGGAGGCTTAGCTTCTCTCATTTCCAAAGGGTAGCAGTGATCCAGATTAGGATTATGATGTGAAAAAGAGGTCAGGACTTCATCTGTCCTTTTAACAGTTCTGTGAAAGAAAAGCACAAATGTCTTTTCCCACATTATTGAGAGGAAACATTGTGTGTGCTGGACACTGGTAGAAGAACCAGATGCGATCAGAGATAGGAGGCATCATTTTATTCATTTATTTAGGTCCAGGGGTCACACACATATCCCAGGATTTTGGAAGGCCACAAGCTATTAGCTTTTAAAAAAACAGTGTGTAGAGTTTGCATTTGTGTTTTGAGGGGGTGACATGAGTCCAAATACAGCAAAGACAGAATTTAATATGGACCTGCCATCTTCAATGGGAGCCCTATTGAGCATCATGTGTAGTGCTACCTGGTCCAAGTGTTTCCAAGCATAAAATGTTTAAAGTTACATTTTATTCTAAGTAATACTAAGAGCAGCCTTTCAATCTGGAATCTGGCAACTTTAAATGTCCCAAGAGTGGGATTAAAAACAGAGCTAATCAAACATACATTCAAGGCACTGTAGGTTTTCTTTTTGAATGAAGGCACCTTACAAATTACATGGATGTGCCGTGCCTGGGCGAGCACTATGTGAGTTACGTGTTTGCTAAGTTAACCTGATATGTGCCATGAGGTCAGTTAGTAGCTTTTGGCAAGTCACTGCCCTAACCTCAGACTATTTTACTTTAGGATTATAGAAATAATCCTAAAATGTCAATAGTGCAATGTAAAAGTTAAATATTATTACAAAGCCTTATTGGATTTATTCATTCTTTTGAGTCCTCCATTGCTTTTTAACTCCTCCTGGACTCCTGTCAGCTTACTTCAGATCTCCCCCACCTTTTAGTGACCCTGAGGCCTTGTTTCACAGACTATCCCTTACTCGTTTCACTGCACTTGCTTCAGCCCACAGCCACCATAGTGATTATAACAGAGGTGGGAATTGTGTGGACCTTATTTTAGACTGCAGCTCCTCTCCTCTCCCTGCATTAGCCATGTTGACTAGGGCTGATGGGAGCAGCCATCTAAAAAAGATCTGGAACAACCTTGGGTGACCCAGGTGTTATTGGACTGCAGTTCCCAGAAGCCTTCACCACCAGCTTTGCTGGCTAGGATTTCTGGGAATTGCTGTTCAAGAACACCTGGGTGACTGAAGGTGAAGAACCACTGATCTAGAGAGTCTTATGTTTCCTATTCCTGATTTAAATTACTGTCATTATTTCTGCAATTTTCATCTAGATGTATAAATTAGCTTATACAAGTATTATGCAAATCTGCACTCTCTTTTGGCCCCCTTTTGACAATGTATAAGTGGCCACCCTATGTGGTAACAGCCACAAATGTAGAAGACAAGGAGTGGGTGATACCTTTAATAGACCAATTTTTTAAAAAATCACAGATATAAACTAGCTTTTGACCCTGCACAGGTCTTCAGCAGGCCTGCACCACAGAATTAAAATGAAAGTTAAAAGAACCGTGGTCAGATGTGAAGTCCAGGCCCCTCTGTTAAAAATACGTTTCAAAATGGGGCGGCAGAGTCAGGCCACAGGTGTGGATTTCAGATTCCACTTTTGGTGGCGTGGATTAGAATGTCTCTCCTAATCTTGTTAGACAACGGATTGCTAGTCACTCAGTATCCTTGCCCTCTTACAGCTCTATATAAAAAACATATGGAATTACCAACTGTAATCAGTGTTGGGTTTTTTAATTGCAATCTACCTTGGAAGGTCTGTTTAGAATTTACATATTGAATTCATTCATTTATACTGTAATTCATACCCCTTTTTTCTTTGCATTATTGTTTATGCTTAAATTTGTTTACAGGTTTGTTTTGTTTCAGGAAAAGTAAATATTATTTTTTTTCCTGCAGCACAACCTATAATCCATTTAAAGCAGTTTATGAAGTAAGATACATTTAGATTGCAGTCCTATACCTAAGATGACTGGTACCTAAGACCACAGATTCTCTCTGCCCAGTCCTCTTCCAAATAATTTGTGGTATAATTAAAATGTAACTGTATAAACAGTATAATGTACCAATGTTGGATGGGACTGTAATCCTCACTCAGTTTGCTGGGATGCCTTCATAATCCTGCATTGGTCCAACATAGTAATGCTAAAAATCACTTTTTTAAGGCTATAGCTCCCAGTGTTCCATAACTCTAAGAGTCCCATAGAATTTTCCCCACCCAGACCCACTTGTGCCCTTTGCTCATTTACTGAGATAGATTTTTGCAGTCTTCACTTCTACCAAACACATGCATTGCGGGAATGCAAAGTGGTGGTGGTAAATGGCAACACAAAGCCATTTTAACCCCTTAATTACGAGTACAAGATTATGAACAGAGAACCTAGTTAGCATCGAAAAGGAAATATCAACTCCGCCATTAACACCGAAACTTCAATGCCTATCTTAATGTTGCTGCTCGTTTGAAGCTGACCCTAAGAACATAGCAAGAACTGTGCCATTTAGATCAAAGCCCTGTTCAGCGTAGGAATGTTTTTTCCTAGGGAGCTTCTGGGGAAAAAAACTCACTAATAGGGTGTAAGTGCCACCTCAACCTCCTGCTCACGGTTCCTGCCAACTGCTACTAAAGGCAGTACATACAGTAGTGGTCATTATGAGTAATAGACATGGATAGCCCTATTCTGCACCACTTTGTCTTTTTCTAAAGCCATGAAATTTGGTGGCTGCTGTGATAATGAATTTCATCATCTCACTGGGAACTGTGTGAAGAGCTATGTTTTTTTAAAAAAAATCTGAAGCCATTTGGCTTCATTAGATAGCCCTGTGCCCTAGAGAGAAAGAAAGAGAAAGAGAGAGAAAGATGCAGGGTTTCTTTCAACTTACTGTATACTGCCCGCGTCTTATAAGATTCGGACGGGGCAAAGACAGATCAGCAAGGGAACCAGATCGAAGCGTCCTGGCTCCAGCATAGCTCCACCAGGCCCAGAAAAAAAGCCAAATAAAGCCATTCCAAAAATAAAAATAAATTTTAAAAAATCAAACAGTAAATGGCCAGACAAGGTGCATCTGGTTTGTTTTGGGAGGAGGGGAGAGAAAGGGACAGTTCCATAAGGCATTTTGGGGCAAAAACAAATAGGTGGGGGTGTTTTGGACTTGTGGTTACCTTGGAACTGGTAAAAATGCTGTGGTAGCTGCATGTAGCCCACATGCTACAGTTTATCAATTCATGCTATGTAGCCATACAACGACATTTCAGCAGCCAGCAGTCCTAGAAATTTGATAATCAACACCTCCAGTAGACGCAGGGTCAGATTATATGTTAAGCAAGATGTTGTATTTCCTTCTTTTATGGTGTTATCCTTCAAGACATGCAAACCTTTGAGAGCAGCACATCTGAGAGGTCAGACGTAAAAACATCAAAATAAAGCTGGCAGTGGGCCAGAAAAATCAGTCTGGTTTGTCAAATGTGGACTGAGGCAAGCTCATGTTAGATGTGGTTTGTCAAATTTGGACTGAGCCAAGCTCATGTTAGAATAAACAGATAGCTTTTTCCTTTTACGTCAGCTTTGCTTCTAATGATATATAAACTGTGTTGCTTGGCTCAGTCCACCTTTCCAACTAAGGTTGTGTATACGTCCACAAACGAGGCCACAAGAAACTCCAGAGTGACCAGCAATTTGGGAAATACACAATTGAGAAAAGAGCTCGAATCCAGTGTACATTAGTCTCAACCTTCAAGTCACTAGGCCAGGCCCGTTTCATTATGTTTCACACACACACTAGCAAATTGTAAGATTATCAGCAGGTAGGTGCTAGAAGCCAGTAAGCATAAGAGATAATTTTTTTCACACTTCTCATATGTTTTTCCCCCCTCTTTTCTATCTAGGGTCCAATGGGTCCCCGTGGGCCGGCTGGGCCACCTGGGAAACCTGGCGATGATGTGAGTATTCTCTCTTCAAGCTGTAGCATCACAATATTTAGCTCTGGATATGCAGATGAAGGAGGAGTGGGCCTCAATTCATATTAAATTGAGATCTTGGGTTGTTCGAAGGCTTTAAATTACAGGGGTTTTAAACTCAATTTACCTGGGGGCTGCTAGAGACAGAGTCTGGGTGAGGCTGGGCCGCATCAGGTTTTCCGCCAAGCGGAGCAAGAGCCCGAGGAAGCTGCCCAGGAGTTTTCTTAGCCGACAGACAGGTGGGCTGGCTGGCAGGCTGCAGTTCTGGATGGAGGGTGCAAGAGGTGCTGTCTTGGGAGAGAGCCGGCGAGCGAGGCAAGGCTTTTTTTTTACTCTTGACAGCAGATGATGTGTGGGCGCTTTGGGGGGCAGGCAAGGCGAGGGCCACAAATTATCATCTGGGGGGCCGCAAATGGCCCCCGGGCCGCATGTTTGAGATCCCTGCTTTAAAACATGTAAGGCAGAATCTTATTCCTTCCTTTCAAGCTTCTGCTCAAGAAAAAAAAATATGGGGGATTCTTAAACAACCCAGCAAGGACTGAGCAAACGTAAGACACAGAATATTGATTAATGGTTGAGAGGGAAAATGTGCATGTGGACATAGGTAAGGGGAATTAAAATAGTAATTGAAAAGTATGTCAGGCACTGGATCTGTTATGCAGTCCAGTGATGTTGTATTTGTCCAATCTTACATATTCAAGGTCCTGTTACAATGGTATGCACCTTTCCTGTAAAACTAAGCGGCCTGGATTTCTGAAAAGACAAGTGTAGGATCAAACTTGGTAAATGTGCTCTGTGAGAAAGCCTTGTGTCAGAAGTGTTTTAATGGTGTCATTGTGAGGTGCAAATGAGGGAATCCCAAATGACCAATTAGATGATTTTAATTTATTATAACTTGAAGAAATAAAAGTGGTTCTCAAGGATTTGCGAGGACTAAACTGCATGTTATATGTACCGTATTTGCTTTTAAAAAAATTAAAATAAACTAATTACAACTGAGAGAAAGGCTAAGGGAGATGAATGCCATTGTGAGTATATACAGGTTGTCTTTTTATTCTCTCACTATTTACATTGTAACCAAAAAACTTGGTACCAATAAGAGCTTTTTACCTGAAAGTCTCAAACCAGTTGAAATATAGCTGTAAATACTGTAGAAGAGTAAGCCCTCACAATAAACTTACCTATGGTGATGGTATCTACTTGTCTTGGTTATTTCATTATATACTGTATATAAAAAACTGCTACACAGTAAGTATAACATGTAGTTTTCCCTGATATGTAAAGAGGCCTTGATTATATTTGGTGGCTTTGGTGGTTTCAGTGTTCTTAAAATAGATATATAGGTTTTTTTTTCTCTGTGCATTTCTCTGCACTATGGATTTTGCTAGCCAGTTGGGTTTTTCCTCTACCATTAGAGTTTACCAGAAAGATTTTGCTGTACTTCTGCAGATTTCAGGGTTCCTCTAAGCATGCTGATGTTTTCCTCTTGTTGTGGAGGGTATTGTTATGCCAGAGTTAACATAAAATATAGAAAGATGAGAGGGAAACTACTTTGGCTGAGATGTTTTTTGTGCTTTGGTGGTGGGATGTAAGTCACAGGGGAGTTCATTAAATGTCCTGTGCTAAATATTGTGTTTATCTGTCTTATTTATGTGATATAGCTGTCCTTGATGCATAGTTTTAATCCTTTGTTACTGTCAAACTGATAAGGCTCTTACAAATTAAGTAGTACAAGCTGGGCATAAAAGTAAAATAAACAAGAAAGATGTTTGCGGGTAGAAATGTGATAGGAGTGGACAAGTTGATTAAGTAGCAATAGAAGGAGAAGTCAGTTGTTTCTTGGTTTTTATCCTTGTAAGAAGTAAATGGTGGCCAATTAACTATAGAGCAGCAATAGAGCAGCAAAATTAAATGCTCTAGAATGCAGAAACAGAAGAAATGGGTAGCTTTGAAATTAGAAGGCATTTTTTTAAAAAGTACCCTCTAAAGATGCATTTCCCCCCAAAACCTTGACTGTCCACACAGTCAGCCTGCATGTTTTGCTTATCTGTTGCTTATCTGTTGATAACTGGTCAGGGACCAAAAGCAAGCTGTCAGTACATTTGCTAGGAAAAAGAGAGTTATATTAACTCTTAAGAGAGTTTTGCTTCTAATTCGGAAGCTGTCATCTTGTCTGTTTCTGTCCAAAGAGACAAGATACCAAGAAACTGTAGGATGCCTTATTCCACATAATGTGCAAGTGATGTCTGGACAGAAATGAGAATGTTACCTTTCTTTGGAGTACAGCTCAGCCAGTCCTATAGCCAGCAGGGTTATGCTGGCTGGGGAATTCTGAAAGGTGTAATCCATGAAACTAACTTTTCTGTATCTCCAACTGAAACTATTGTGGGGAAAAGTCAAGTGGTCTAACAGTGTGGAAAAGTCTGAATAGCTATGGTTCTGAGTCAAGAGGGCATCTAAAGGGCTACCCTATGAAGAAAATACCAGGGTGGAGAGTGGAAGAAGAGCAGAACTGTGTTATCTAGGGGGTTCTGGGAGTTGTGACCTTTAAAAATAACCCTTCTAAGCTCTGGCTAGAGCTAGGAGTTAATGGAAAGAGAACAGATCTCTTTTGTTCTCCTACGCAGAAAAAAAGTATATACAGAGACCCCATAGTTTTAAAAATGGAGTGTAGGCTGATGGTTTTATTTCAATACACTAGACTGGGCTGGATAGGACCATTTGTCTGATCCATCAGGATTCTCTATAATATGTCTGATGATTCCGAAGCTCCTTTTTGGCTGCCTGTTTTACATAAATACGCCAATATGGTAGAAATGCATAGTGAAGGGAACAAATGTTCACCCCTTTGTCTTTTCTTAGGGTGATTCTGGCAAACCTGGCAAACCTGGAGATCGTGGACCACCTGGACCTCAGGTAGGGATGTTTCTACCTTGGTGCTCTCTCTCTCTCTCTCTCTCTGCGGAAGAAAAGCAGAAGAGAAATAAAATAAATTAAATACAAGCATCAATGGGCATAATATTAGGTTCAGGTTTTCCTAGCACATCTAAACTTAGATTAAAAAATAATACGAGAAAACACATGTCGTTTGATCAGGAAGAGGCTCTAGCTCAATTTTATTTTGGAACGGTCTTACCGTTCAGGGTCATTTTGAGTATAACTAAACCATGCACTGCATTTCCATGAGATTATCACTACTTTTATCTGTGCAGAAAGACGTTTGGGGAGAGGATTATTAGTGGCCATTGTGAGGTATACTTGGTGTTAAACAAAACCATAATTCTGTAGCAACGCAATCCAAATTCTTGGTACCACAGAAAAAAAGCTAAACATTCTTGCTAGCTATGGAGAAGGGCTGTTATATTTTTCTGGTTGTTAGAAGCCCTGCTGAATCTCACCAGCTGTTGCCCAAATGATACAAAGCCCAGATTTGCAACTATAAAAAGCTTGCAGAAAGAAAGAAAGAACGAACGAACGAACGAACTGAGGGTCTCAAAGTGCTAAATTCTGGAATCAATTCCAAATTCTGTGGCTTTTGCCACCTAAGAGGAACTTCAGAGTACTGTACACAAAAATCAGCCAAGGGCAGCTGGTTTTAAGTGCAACGGGCAACCAGAAAGTAAGGCATGCTTCACACTTGCCAGTCAGCCAAGAGGGTCATGAATTGGTATTATGATAAAGGTGACTGACATCATAATCCTCTTTGCCATGATACCTTAAGAGTGTTGCTGAATCACTGGTTGCAGAAAGTAAAAGATCGCTTCCTCACTGCTATATATGTTTTAGTGTCACTACAGGAGAAAGGAATGAAGGGCTAAGAGGTCGTGTCTTATCAAAGGCAGGGCACCAGGCACTTTGCTTGATTTTTTTTTGTTTTGTTTTTTGTTTTACAATTTAACTTCTGTGAAGTTGGCAGGGCATGCTCGAAAACCCACTATGTTTCTTCTTCTCCCTGAACTGATCTCTTTCCTTTCCATGTAGGGTGCTCGAGGTTTCCCTGGGACTCCCGGTCTTCCTGGTGTCAAAGGTCACAGAGTAAGTCTGCAAAGATTACGTGTCTGAGTTGTTGGTTTCTTTTTGTTTCCAACCTCTCTGGTTTAAAACAAACACAGATCCGTGGTAGATTCACTGTGGTTCTGATGGTTTTATCCTCTCTTCCTAGGGCTACCCTGGTTTAGATGGTGCCAAAGGAGAAGCTGGTGCTCCAGGAGCTAAGGTAGGAGAAAACATCTGGGACTTGGGAAATCCATGCTATCCTTAGTATATGGTCAAGGTCAAATCCCTTTGTAAATTTTTAACCCCATTTGCAATAAATACCATCTTAAGCATCTTTTCTAGCTTGATTGACTTGTTTTATCTGACCCTGCAATCATTAACAAGTGGCTTGTGAGGTAGATATATATATATATATATATGAAGTGGGGTAGGTGGGGGAGTGAAAGGAGTGGTTAAACTGCTGTACTGCAGCCAAAACTCTGCTCACAACCCAGGTTCAATCCCAGGCTTGAGGTTCACTCAGATTTATTCACACAGATTTCCATTCTATTGAGTATCCAATTTGCTGGGGAGGGGACGCAATGTGTAGCCTGCATAATTAAATTGTAAACTGCCCAGAGAGTGCCTTAGGCACTATGGGGCAGTATATAATCAGCACACTTTGCTTTTGAGTGTAAGGTTGTTCTTGACATGGTAAGAAAAGGTGCACATGCTTTAAGTTGGACTCCTGCCTGGTTGCTGCTTTTTCCAGGGAGGTGGGAGGTGCCCTCCAAAGATGGCCAAAAGGGACAAAGAATGAGTCCTTTTTCTCTATGTGACGTCATAAGGCGAAAGGTGCTTTTTGAAAAAGAATGTTTTTTCTTGCCTTTCAATGACATAACAAGTAAGGTCACTGTTTTTCTGTATTTATTACCTTACATACACACACACACCACCCAGCTCCAGATCATTTACAAACAGCTGTTGTGACACCACATCTGCCCATTATACATTGTGACAGTCCTGACCTTTGTAGCTGACCTGAAAACTTCTCCGTTGGCCTCAGAGCCTGAGATGGGAAAGATGCTGAACATCTGTGGTTTCCCAAGGGTAGCCAATGGTCTTTTGAGACTCTAGTTTGACATGTGGATGACCGATGCTCTTGTAATTGCACAGATCCTGGATGTGTCCCTTCAAGGAGACATTTTGTACATTTCCATAGTATCATAAGCCGTGATGTCACATTTTGGGAAGATCAGCCAGTTTCTCCAGTTTGCAAATCCATTGCATCTTGGAAAGTGCACTCAGGCCTGAGCAGTTTGCACTCAACTTCGAACAGCTGAAGCTAATTAGTTTTCTTACAGAAGCCAATGGCTCTGTACATCCTTTCCTGCTTCCCTGGTGTTGATCCCTCCTACTATTTCCTCCTGTTCTGCATTTCTGCCGAAAAGCAGTGTTACCCATTGAGATGCAAAGAGATGGTGCTGGCCACTGATGGTGTTGTGCATTCTGGTGGAGTGCCCTCTAGTGTTCAAACTGTGGGAATGACAGGGCCACCTTCTTGCAATGCACGTTAACAAAGATAGTATCGGAATCTCATTTCTATTCTTTCTTTTATTCTAGGGTGAATCTGGATCTGCGGGTGAAAATGGTTCTCCTGGTCCCATGGTAATTATGTGCTGCTCAACTATTTTTTTAATCTATAAAAAAAATGGTGTTAGCTTTTGGGAGCAGGTATAACTCATTTGAGTTGAAGAAAACATCCATTGCATTTTAACTGTTTATGTAACTAGAGCGCACATATATTGTGTCTTCTGTATAACCAAGGCAACGTAGGGGCAGTTCCCATGTTTGGCCCCATTCAGGAACTGACCAGGTGCATGCTTGCTTCACAATAGAAAGTCTGTGTTTATGTGCACAGTTGGGTCTCTATGAATTGTGTCCATACTTAAAAATACTGCAGTTTCTGCAAAATTCTACTTGTCTCTCTACCTATTCCTTTCACCATCTGTTACGAAGGGGAACATTTCTCTGAGCTGAATTATTTTTGAGAAGTGGGTTACTTTTATCTATAAGAGATGGTGCTCCAGGATGGTGCTTTTCTAATTTTTGGCTGTATTATTTTTCAGGGTCCCCGTGGTCTTCCGGGTGAAAGAGGACGTCCAGGACCATCTGGTGCTGCTGTAAGTGTCAGCATTGTTTGGGAGTTCAAATTGCAAATGTTCTTAATCTGTCCTGCTGTTACCTGGAACAGTGGTTTTAATCCTTGTTACTATTCTAAATGTTGCTCCTGCAGCAAATGTAAGCAGGGATACCCTCTGCTAAAACTCTCTTCCCAGATCCTCCAGAAATTCTCCTCCCCCTCCCCACAACCCACAACCTGTGTAGTCTTGTAGTAATGATGAAACAAGGTCAACTGCTTGGAAGGCAGCTATGTACACACACGTACACACATATAAAAAAGCATACATACATCTGGTGCAAGATTTCCATCTTTTAAAGGCATGCTTTAGGAAAGGTTCTTCCACCCACCCACCTCACCTTTTATAGCTGCAAAAGTACAGTACAGCCACTGTACTGGAGCCACTGGACAGCATGAAGGGACAGAGGAAAGGGCTAAAGAGTTCCTATGAAAAGAAGATCAGAAGTTGTGCCTTAAAATACATGATAATGACTGGCAGATTTTTTACTCTAGTGCGAATTTTCTTGAAAATGTGGCTGTTGCATTTTTTTGTAAAGTTGTAAAGGAGAAGATGTCACCCTCCACCTGCTAGCAAATAATAGAACTGGCATCTCGTGTAGAAAGGGTTGCTTTTTGCTTCTCAGCTGCAGTGAAGACATTTTCTGTTTATCTGAGAAAGCATAGTAGTTTTGAAAGTAAAGACCAGGGCATATTGTTAGAGGAGACCAAAGGCAAGGCCATTCCGACTGCAAGAGCTGTAGTAACTCTGGTGTAGTTTCATTAAAGACAAAAATAAGTTAAAAGAATGTTACAAGTGCTCTCTTATAAGCACAACAAAAATATAAATATTGCTGTTTACTGAAGCTTTCATGAGAGATGTAGCTAGTAACAGTGGATGGAATTCTTTTTGGTAGTATGTACGCACAAGGCTGATCTTGTTAGCCAGGGTGATTTTTCCAAAATTAAAAATGTCTTTTTCCACCCAGAAGTCCTGAGGTGACTTTGGGACCCCCTTTTGTCCTAGGGAAGCCACTGGGGGCTGCAGAATTTTGGGCAGGCTATAGCTGGGATGATTTTACTGGCAGCTTTTGGAAACTAAAAACGTCCCCTTCATTCCTTGGCTGTCAACAGTTTTCCCAGAGTAAAAGGGATCCCATAGCAGCCTCAGGACCTTCAGCGGGGTGGGGGGGGGTGGGAGTCAGAAATTTTTATTTCCAAAATTTTGCCACGGCTGATGATGTCATCAACCTTGGACAGCCTAGCTCCATGGGCAGTAATGGAGTAATGAATGGAAAAGTTGTATCTACTGTGCCTGATAGGGATAGGAAACTTTCCACCTTCCACATGTTGGACAGCAACTCCCATCAGCCAGAGCCAGCATAGCCAATGATGAGGGATGATGGGAATTGCAATCTGGAGAGCAGCACATTATCCAACCCTGCTAATCAAAAACAGGGCCAACATTTTTGCCCAGTGTGTGGTATGGGTGTGGGGAAGAATTAAAAGCTATTATCTTGCAACCCAAATGCCAGAGGAGGACCTTTAAAGTAGCTGCATTTTCTCTTGCCTTCCTTGGGCTTGTAGGTGTGTTACACAACATGGGAGTCAAGAGACAGACATCAGGATTATGAAAGAAACTGTAGGGGGACAATGAGGGCCTTTACACCCACTCCAACTAGAAATCTAGAAAACAGGAACAGGTTCTTTTTCATGAGAAAGGCAGGATAAAAATATCTTCAATAAATAAAATAAATAATCAATATTCAGAAAGTAGTTTGGAAGTGGCTTTCACAGCTGTAAAAATAGATAGCTTCATGTAGTGTTTTGTAAACTCGCAGGTCCTATAACACAGGGACTAGAAAACCTATTGGTTTTCGGTGAGGTTTGTGTAACTCACTGTGCTTCATTGGGTCTAATGGATGAGGTGTGCCTGGGTGAATCTTGGTTGTGCAGTCAGGTTTGTGATTAGGCGTACAAAAAACACATGCTTCAACAGTTTGTCGGTGAGCTGTCACTGCCTGTGTCTAATTATGGAAATCTTACCTAGGATTTGGGTTTCTGTAGGGGAGGTTAAGCTGAGAGATAGGTCTGATATAAGTATCTATCTTTATATACATAAGGATTAAAATTTGAAGGTTGTTGTATATGTTGTTCCCTTTGCACAAGATGGTATACTCAGTGTGCTATAGTGGAGAGGGTGACAGACTAGGACTTAGGGGCCTGGATTCAAATTCTCACTTAGCCATAGAAAGCCATCAGGAGTGTAGAACTGGTAAAGACATTCCTTAAATGTCTCACTTACTCTGAAAGCCCGATTAGGGACACTTATAAGTCCATTCTGACTGGACAGCAGAGAACAACTACACAACATGCCTACACGTATGGGTGACTTTTAGACCTTCACACATATGGACTGGGTTAACAGAACACCCTGGTAAGGCAGGATCTGGATCTGCAGGAGCCGATACACAAGCATGTTCAGCCAAATGCTCTCACGGAACTGTTTTCAGACCTTTGTGTGCCATATGTGAAAGTCTCATATTCCAGGCCCCTTTGCATGTCCCTATCTTATGTGTATGCAGGTGACTTTAACAGCCAGATTTTGCACTTGAGTGAACTGTTTTAATCTGAATCTGTGCAAAAGAGAAACCTGAACTGTAGGCGCAACCATGGACACTTTAACAGAGCCATGGATCAATAGTATGACACCACCGGCCTCATTTCCAGCATTCCATTCTGCATTTCCAAGGATTTTGGCCTTCACTTGATACTGTAATAAATGTAGCATGAAATTTCCTCTGGCCTTCTGTTGAGCACATGGTAGACTCTCTCTCTGGAGACGACTGTCAAGCACAGCAGGAGAATTTTAGCTCAAAGCTTCGTTGTTTATACTTGTAGCAACTGAAAATGTTGAAGGAATTAAGGAGGGTGAATGGAACCCAAACAGTTATAACCTAAGTGACGCCGAACCTATTAGGTGAGCATCCTTCTGAAGAGACCCATGCAGCTTCTTGCTTCTCAGTTTAACCCAGTCTCTAATTAGTGAGAAAAAAAACTAAAAGCTCAGTTTCTCCAGTGGTGGTTTTGTGACTGCTACATCGTTGGCAGGTTCTCCTTCCTTTGAATAATAATCAGTGATTTTGTAAATATAAACCCATCGGTCATTTCCCCACAAGTTGTACAGCTTGCACTTACCATATACCTGTACATATACCTCGGTTTACGAATGCCTCGGTTAACGTAATTTTCGGTTTTACGAAGGAAAATCCATTGAAAAGAATGCTTCGGTTTACTTTTTTTTCGCAGTACGAAGCAAGTTTCCCCAGGATGCCTTGTGCCTGGAGGTTTATAGCGCCGCCCCCATTCCTATGGCAATCCATGTTTTGGTTTACAAATTTTTTGCATTATGTAATGTCCTGAAGAATGCATTAAATTTGCAAACCGAGGTACGCCTATATAGGGAGTCGTATTACTGCACCCCCATGAACTTGAAGTATTCTAGGTGTCTCTTTCCTTAGCTAGAGATTAAATAGTTGTATTGATTAACCACTATGGCTGAAGGCAATCATTTCATATTATTTTGCCTTGTTTTCCGTCACATTCCCACTCATCCTGCCCGAAGAATGCATTAAATTTGCAAACCGAGGTACGCCTATATAGGGAGTCGTATTACTGCACCCCCATGAACTTGAAGTATTCTAGGTGTCTCTTTCCTTAGCTAGAGATTAAATAGTTGTATTGATTAACCACTATGGCTGAAGGCAATCATTTCATATTATTTTGCCTTGTTTTCCGTCACATTCCCACTCATCCTGGGAACCATTTTATGCAATTTTTTTCATCATAGCCAGGAAGTTCTTCCCAGTTACAATCCCCTGCACAATGTCTTGGGATACAAATGGCATTCGAATGATTTTGGCCTGTTTGCAAGTCAGTCTATTCAGGCAAGAGGTTTCTCCACCACCACCACCACCCGATCTGAACTGGCTGTGTTGATTGTGGCTTTAATTTCTGTTGGTTTTGTAGAAATGTTATAGAAAAATTAAGTGATAAGATATATTAGCCGCCTAGAGTGGTCGAAATGACTAGATAGGCGGGGTATAAATACAATAAATAAAATAAATAAAAATAAATATTAGCAATAGTTTTGAATAAATATATCGTTAAACTGCATTGCAGCAGCCTATTGATGATCAGAAGCAGATATATGAGGGAAATGCACGTTGACATACATAACAGCAAACCCACCCTCCGCTGTCTTGTGGAAAGGACAAAGGATTTGAATTTAGGAAGCCGAATTGTACTGAGTCCGGCCTGTAACCCAGCATTGGCAGCTGGATTCTAAATATGGCCTTAGGTAGAGAAACTTGGATATCTTAGCCATGCTTCCTGGGGTCCTCTTAGCCGGAGATTAAGCTTGAGAGTGTCTAGGTGCCAAAACATGTGTCCTCCATGTAGCTCTGGCTCTGTCTGTCTTTTAAAAAGTCATTTATGGGCATTTCCCTTGAGGGTCTTCCGTCAAGTTGGTATGGTTTGTGTGGCCTGACTGCCTCATTTTTTCACTGTTCTTCCTGGCCCCTTGCCTGGGACCCGAGGGAGTTCTGTCAGGCAATTAGTCTTTAGTTACATGGGGTCAGGAATGTCAAGCCATTAGCTCTGAAGGCTTTTTTTTATTGCACAGTAATCCTCACATGAGAGGCCCTTCTTGGGGTTCCACATGTGTGTGAGATAAAAACCATAGAGATACAAAGCAAAGACATTTTTAGAACTGATTCAGCAAAGGTGCCCAAAAAGCCACACATTATTATTAAATGTGCCTATAGGACATGTAAAGACTGACACATTTTGCCTGGTTTTTGTGACTGGTAGAATCCATAAGCCCTTTATTCTTGCATTTTGTCACTGAGGTTTGATAGTCTTGTTAACCCCCCCCCTTTTTTTTTGCATTTAATTGTTTGGGAGGGGTTGGTTTTGTTGCCTTAGGAAGTTGTGGTGTTCGAAGCTGTCTTCAATTTTTTGATAGCTGTCATTTTGATTCAGAGATTTTCTTGCCCAGACAGAAAGCCTTTCCTTTCAACTTTTACAATTCACTCTTCCTGTTGCAGTCTACCATGCTGTATTCCATTGTCTTCCAAAGGGTCTGTCTACCTCCAGGAACAGATTCTGGAAGGTGCATGGATTATTAACAGGAAGGGGAAATAAAAGAATTCCCAATTCTATGTACATAATTATGGTGATGAAAATTAAGATCTAAGCCATGGGGTGGAGGGAAACCACCACAGATGGAGACATTTTATAGGTAAATAGGCTGTTCCAGATAAATGTTATTTGTCTGCCGCATCTGTGGTACTAGAAGAACATCAGGACTGACTCTTAGAAGTGCTGGCATTTTGTGCTCAAATAAATATTAACTCCAAAGATGGAGGTCTGTAGCCTTCATTCTCATTTTATATTGGTTTGTCCTTGTCAAGGAAAGTAATACAGTATAACAATTGTACACAGTAAGAGAAACCAGACAGTTTTCTGCATGTTTGGAAGAATTCTGGGGGTCTGTGCCAGAAAAGGACCAAGGTGGGGGAGAAAGCTAGTCTAGATCATTTTTACCTTTGGCATAGCACACTTTCTACAAGTGTGAAGTTGTGTGTGCATTTTATGCATGAGCATCCAGTGGTGTGTATTCCCATACACCCAGACAGCCCTATGTGGCTACAGCTCTTTCTCCTTCTGCAGGTGTCAGTTTACACTGAGATACGGAATGACACATCCACTCCTACATGAGCAGACATGCCCTCACATAGCAATAATTCCTCTCATGTTCCTCCCATCAGTGTCCCTCTTGTCCTTCGCTCTGCTGTTCCAGAGCAGGAAGAGAAGTCCAATGATGTTCTTGAATAAATGTGCCCCATTAGATCCCTCCCCGTATATTTACCAACCCTCCCAAATCCCTTTGTTATCATAGTTTCAAACTTAGTTATGCCATTTTTTTGATGAAATGAACATTTCTGACTCAGAACCTCTTGTTTACATAGGGTGCTCGTGGTAACGATGGTCTCCCTGGCCCAGCTGGTCCACCAGTAAGTACATTTATTTTTTCTTAAACATTATTTTCTTAAGAAGTTTTATTTTTTTTTTCCTATCCTAAAAATTATAGTTTATGGATTGGCTATATTACTACTGAAATAACTCATCAGTTGAAGGAGAAGATGTTGTAGCGGACAACAGAATTATGTGTGATACATGCCTAATAAAATGAAGATTCTACTGTCATACTCAAAACTTGGTTTCACAGGGGATCAGCACTGAAGAGTTAAGCCAAAAAATTTTGTGAACAGGATGGGTTTTCTGGGAGATTTAGAAGCTAGAAAAGTGGCAGATTACAGATATTTTGGAAGATTATTTCAGATGTTACCTCAATTAACAGAAAATTTGTGCAGTGCATTGTGGGAATGTACTGAAATGCACACTTTGTAGTAGGGCTGTTGTGGAATCAGAGCCACTACAGTTGTATAGTTCCACTGTAGAAATTTCCTTTAAAATTGGTTCTGCATTTTTGTTGTTTTAGACGCAGCTCACTGTGCACAGCAGTGCTTGGCTAGAACCCATGCCATCATGAGCTCCCTTTCCCTCTCCCTGTATAGCTTATCTGCTTTAAAACTAAGTCAACTTTTTAGAAAGGTGTTTGAGTATGTATGGAGGAGTAAGTGTAGGTTTAACTGAATCAGTTTATTCAGTTTAATACATTTATGCAGTTTATCTGGATCTTGAGGTTGGTGCAAGAGATTACTGAATTGGCTAAAGAGTTGCAGGTCATACATATATCACATGAGTTGTGATGCCAAGGAGAAGCTAGACTCACCCTTCAGGGGAGCAATCCTGAAGGAAATAGCTTTCAGAAAATTTAGGGTGGTAGAATCAAAAAGGTGGATCGTGTTAGAGAGGTTTACCTGAGCACTTCCACCTTGATTAGATGCTTTTGTCCTGATCTAACTTTCCAGCAAGGCCATCGAGTCCAACCCTCTGCTCGGTGCAGGGATCCAAAATCAAAGCAGATCTGATAGATCTACCTACTATTGTCATATTCAGGTTGGGAATTAGAACAGTGAAGAGTCCAACCCTCTACTCAGTGCAGGGATCCAAAATCAATCTGTCAGATCTGTCAGATTTTGATCATATTCAGGTTGGGAATTAGAACAGTGAAGGAATACAAGGACAGTTTCTTTTATTCCATATACAGTCATTTCAGACCACAATCGATATTTATTTGTGAGCCAGCTTGCCCTTGGATCGGACCTAAGAAACCAAGTTTGTGTCTCCACTTAGCCTTCCATTAAGGAAGAAACCAGCTAAAACCCTACCAAGTTTTTACACTGCTATAATGTTGCCAGCATAAATCTGTCAACTGCTTGAATTTCTGCAAATTTAGAAGTTAGCGTAGCAGATGCCTAAACTAACTCCTTAACTTTAAGCTGCCTAGAGTGGTCCAAGCCCCCTAGAGTGGTCCATCGGTCCAGATAGGCGGGGTATAAATCAAATCAAATCAAAGCAAATAAATAAATAAATAAATAAAATTTAGAAGTTAGCATAGCAGATGCCTAAACTAACTCCTTAACTTGCAATAATTCACGTGTGAGGTTTACACCAGCTGCCTTATCCCAGTGAGCATAACTAAGAGGATTTTGGCAAATCAATATTATTCTGAGGGTATCGTGCTTGGACAAAACCAACCACAGGTTTGTATTTCAGTACAGCCTTGCATGTATTGAGATGCCCCTTCCAGCCTCACTTTCCAGCTGTAAATATGGAATCGTAATTAAATTCTGTACAGGTTGCTTCTAACAAGTGTCCTGATTCTTGGAGTTGTGTCTTAGGACTGTGCAATGCGTTGCCCTCTAAATGTGCTGTAAATAATCAAAATAATTCTGCTCCCAATTTCTCCAACTGGTTAGAATTACACCTTGTCTTTTTTTTTCCCCCAGGGACCCGTTGGCCCTGCTGGAGCCCCAGGTTTCCCAGGTGCACCAGGTGCAAAGGTAAGCCGTGCTTCAAGGCCTAAGGAATGAATGCTTTTGCAGGTGGTTAGCTTCTCAGGAGTCCGCTCCACCTCCCAAGGAAATAGGACGTGTCTCCTGCCTGCAGGATGTTGTTCCTTTATTCACTGCAGGAAGGCCTCAAGCATTTTATCAGGTTCATCTGCTTAATGCTTAAGGGAAAGGTGGAGAGACTGACAGCCCCCCAAGAAAAGCAACACACTTGTATCTGTATGTATAAGGAAAGCAGAATAAGGCAAAGAGCTTAGATAGGATTGGGAAAAGACTAAAATATTAAGGGAAAAAACTGTAAAGTAGAAGAAAGCTGGGTGTCTGAAGAGAGGCACAGGTTTAGAGAGTAAAGGTACCAGAGAATTACAATAATTGTGTGCCATTGAGTTAGTCCTGTCTTAGGGGGTGACTCTCTTCAGGGTTTTTTAAAGCTTGAAAGTACTCTGAAGTGGTTTACCATTCTCTTCTGGAGGCATCCTGGGACTGTGCAGCTTGCCCAAGGCTACACAGGCTGACCCTTCTGAAAGCCACAATGGGGAATTGAACTCCCAACCAAGACACCTAATGTGCTGAGCTGTCCAGCCAACAAGCAGAGAATTATACAGATTAATTATTGATCACAGGAGTGGTGAAACTTTGGCTCTGCAGGTGTTTTGGACTATAATTCCAACATTCCCTTACCACTAGGCGTGCTTGCTGAAGTTGGTGGGAGTTTTAGACCAAAAACATCTGGAGGCCCAAAGGTTCCCCAGACCCGATTTACTGCACAAGAGTATGGAAAACCTGGTAATCCAAGGATTGAAAGTATTACATGGAGAGAGTGGGTGTGGCGTCTCATACATATCCAGAGAACTCTGTAATTTTCAAGACTCATATCTTGACAAGCAGGCTAAGCATGAGGTTTGTGGTAGTCTCCTAGAGAGCAGTCTGGTGAAGCAGGGCAGGGTACATCTGATCAGCTTGCTGGGTCAGCTCTGCCATTTCAGAGTTCTTTAGGAAAAGATTGTGTAAGAGGGAGTAGGATTCTTAGCATGGCTTTAAAAGGCCAGTTCTTGGAGATATTAAACAACAAAGAAATGTGATTTTAAGAGCATGGGTCAGAAGGTCAGCCTTCTTATAGCAAAGTGATTTTTCCCCATTTGCCTGATGTCTTTATACTTTGTGCATCTGTCAGATGCTGGTAAGAACAGACCGTATCTGGAACTGGAAAGCTGGCAAAATATAAATGTGCCAATTAGGAGGAGTCATATGCGGTCTTGAAAGCTTGCTGGTGAGAAGTCCTTCACCTGCACCGGGGCATTTTCTCAGCAGTGCCCCTATTGGCTACCTTAACACCTGCATAAAACTTGATTTTGATCTGAGAACATGAGGAATCTATACTTTTATGAATAGATCATAGACTCCTAGAATAATGGAGTTGGAAGGGGCCTATAAGGCCACTGTGTCCAACCACCAGTGTGTGTTACATAAGAAACACTGCTAGTGAAATACCTTGTTTTCCCCACATTTGAGCTGATTTTTTTTTTTTTTGGTAATACATACTCTGTTTTTACTTCCTGGGCATTTTTGCCCTGGCATATTCCTCTTCAAGTGTTATAAGAAGCATCAAGCACTGATGCTGAAATAAATAGACATTCAGTTACTGGGTTTGTTTTGTTTTGTTTAATTTTGTTTTGTTTTTGTAACTTCCACAGTCCTTCACTGTTAGAGTCACTCAAACACTAGAGCAATGGTGGTGGGGGTCAAATCATGACTGTATTTCGGTCAGTGGGCATTTTGCCATGGATATGAAGAGTGATTAGATAGACACACACAGAGAGAGAGAGAGAGATTGAGAGAGAGAGAGAGAGAGATCTAACTTTATTACCATGTGCTTAGACCAGCCATGTGCTTAGATATAGTCCAAAGGTTCAAAGCAATCCAGGAGTCAGGCAGCTGGGGAATCGGGGGCAATCAATTTATCCTTTTTCTGTTGGCAAAAGAAAAGAAAAGGGGGGGGAGGCAAAATAATTTAGCATTTTAAAGACTTAAGAATTTTATTTCCTTGTGAGTTTTTGTGGATCAAAACCCACTTCTTCAGACACAAGGAGTGCAAATGCTGTGTCTTTTATATTTATACATATTCTCATGACCAGGTGAGTATACAGGTAATAAGCAAACTGACAATAGTTCATTGACACAGGAAATCTGCATTAGCCAGTATGTACCTGTCTTCTACCCCAATCTCAGCTCAGTAGATCTGGTTTCCTGAATAAGAGGCCTGTTTTAGGGCAAGGGGAAATCAGAGACAGGAGACACTTTCCTATGGGAATTCCCAGTGCCACGTGGTTCTGTGGCTTCAGGTTGCTAATTTCCCTGAAGGCTGGTTTCTAGGGTTACCAGACAGTGAAGAGGCGATGGGGGTGGTGTCAGTGTGGAGTAGGCAGGGAATGAGGCCTTTTGGGGAATGTCTGGCAAGAAATGGCAGTGGGTCCTCAATAACAATCAGTGTCCTCATTAGAAAAAGATGGAGAGGGAAGCTTTCTGAGGTGAAGGGCAAGGCCATGTTCTAGTGACATGACACACACCGAGGCAAGAAAAGTAAAATGAAGATACAGTATGGAAACAAGAAATAATTGTCTATGAAAATATGGCTCCTTTAGAATTAATTGCACTGATTGCGCTTTTGGGTATTGATAAGGCAGGATGACATGGAATAAAATAAAAATACAAAACTGAAGGAAACAAGAGATGATCAATGTTTCATAAAAGACAACAAACTCTTCATTGTATTCACGAAGGCTTTCACGGCCGGGATCTAATGGTTGTTGTGGGTTTTTCGGGCTCTTTGGCCGTGTTCTGAAGGTTGTTCTTCCTAACGTTTCGCCAGTCTATGTAACCAACATCTTCCGTCTATGTGGCCAGCATCTTCAGAAGATGCCGGCCACAGAGACTGGCAAAATGTTAGGAAGAACGACCTTCAGAACATGGCCAAAGAGCCCGAAAAACCCACAACAACCAAACTCTTCATCATTTGGGTTTGTTTTGTTTTGTTTAATTTTGTTTTGTTTTTGTAACTTCCACAGTCCTTCACTGTTAGAGTCACTCAAACACTAGAGCAATGTAATATGTTGCAGTAGTACGTTGCAACTGAGTAGGCCTACTGAATCAGTGGAACTTACTATTTTGTATTACCAAATCCCTATTAATTCAATGGGCCTAGCTTACTATTGGAGTGCCACCATTATGGAGTAACAGTGCAGCAAGATCAATGATGAGCATTTAGGCATCAGGCCATTTTGCAAAGAATCATTGGATATTTCCTGAGGTGCTGACTGCTTTGGTACATTTGTCAAACTTTCGTATAGTTGTAAAAAAAAATCTGTATGGATGTGAAGTGTGTTTGACTTTGAAAAAAGGCCTCCAAAGCATTGATGCCCATACCAATAAGTTTTAGTGCATTACAGTTCTGCATCTCTTTCATGAAATTCCACAGTTGGAGCCAGTATAGAATAGCAGATTTAGACTAGGGCTCTGGAGATCTGGGTTCAAATCCCTGCTTGCCATGGAAACTCACTGTTTGTGGCAATGCTAAACATCTCACTTACCTCAGGAACCCTATTAGGGTTTCCATAAGTTGGAAACAACTTGAAGACACACAACAAAAGTGCTTTCTGATTTTAAAATCTCGGTAGGCATCCTAATATAGAGTGTTATTGGAAGAGATTTTTTAAGGAAGACACAGCACTTTAGATAATGTACAACTTTCTGGAAAAAAAAATCTTGACTCTCTTGGATTGTTGGACTAAAGGTACGGGTTCAAGCCTTGTTTAGTCATTCTACTCAAGAATGGAGTCCAGCTTGCTGACCCTGCTGTTACTATTATGGCCTCTGGTGGTCCCATCTATCCTGTCATCCATGCCTTGGAGGTGAATCCAGCTGTCTTTGCTGTGCTATACTGAATGGTGACTCTAATCTGATGCTTGTAGAAGGAAACCATTTATTCAGAATAGGGGATGGTTCTGCCATATTTTTCTGTGGTTTCTTCATGTTCTCTCCTTGCTCCTTACGCAGGGTGAAGCTGGCCCCACTGGTGCTCGTGGGCCTGAAGGTGCCCAGGGGTCCCGAGGTGAAGCTGGAACCCCAGGCTCTCCTGGACCATCAGGAGCTCCAGTAAGTACCAAGTTCTTAAAAAGAAAACCAGAACTCGAATCCTTTGGGGATGTGAAAACTATTTAGGTTTACGGCAAGATTCAAGCTTTTCTTTCAGACTCCCCTAGACTTCATTCTGTGGTCTTAACCCATAAGGTCAGTTACTCCCAAGATGAGCATACTTGTTTGCGTGGAAGGAGATACATGCTGAAATACTCCTTGTTTTTCCACACCACTTCCCTTAAAAATGTAAGTTGTGTGGGAATAGAACTAGATGTAAGTAGATAAACCACCAGCAGATGGCAGTAAGAAGGCAACATTTGCCCTACAATGCATAACTATTCCCACTCACAGCCCCCTTAAAAAAGAGACCTATACTATTCTGTCTGGCAAAACAAAACAGGCACACAATAAAGGATCAAGGAAGCAAGATGCTGATGGTTTTGGAAAGCTGTCTCAAATGCAGATTGTATATCTGCCATTTACGAGCATCTACCGGTATCAGGCGCCTGCACTTGTGTCTCTGCTGGCTAGCTTGGCAGAAAATATAATTCACCTGGAAAAGAAAAATGCCACCCCTCCTTGCAACAGTGCCATTTATTAATGGCCAGGCTGTTAAATTAATTTGGAAATGAAAGCCAGTGGCCGTATTTTCATATCAGGCAAGACTACAAGTGTAGGCCTTGCCAAATCTGGTCTTCTCTGTAGGCTATATTCTGCAGAGTATTTGGCTTGATAGATTGCTGGGCTTGATAGACCTCTCAAAGCAGTTGTTTACCTGAATGTGGTGAAGTCACTTTACCAGTGTAGTCAAATGTGATATAAAATCCCAAATTTATAATGCAATGTGGCTGTAAGAGCTCGTTTTGATTTAGATTACTCCAATACCTCCTCCTCCTCCACAAAATACCAAAATTTGAGGTGAAGCAAACAATGAACAGTTGTGTTTGTTTTGCATCCAACGCAGTCTTTCAGATTCTTCAGCTTTTCCTTTCCTTCTCTACATTAGGACTGTAGTACCCACAGGGGATTGGTTCCAAGCCTCCCACACAGATGCCAAAAACCATAGATTTGCAAGCCACATACATATAGCAGAGCCTCTGGTTCCATCTAGTGGTCAGTTCCAATAGTACACATTGGAAACATGCATTTCTGGGGGGTTTTCATTTAAGATTTTCAAGTAGTGGATAAATGAAACCGTGGGTCCTGATCCCTCAGATACAGCAGTCATACTGTAGTTCCCCCCCCCCATTTAGTTTACTTTGAATAATCAGCTGCAAAAATCTATGCTTCTAGTTTCTTATCAAGTATTGCAACTTGCTTTCTTCTTGTTTTTAGGGAAACCCTGGAACTGATGGAATCCCTGGTGCCAAAGGATCAGCGGTGAGTAAGATATCGCTTCGGCATGAGGACAGAGGAGAGCTTGGTGGCCATAACTGATGTCGTTTGTAGAAGACCTATGGAAATTTCATAATCCTTGGTCTTGACTAGGGATGGCATGAAAGATCTGAACATTGGGATTGCCAAAAGCAACCTGATATATCTTAAGTCCTGCCATTCTGACTGCTTCTAACCTTTTTTTTGTTATCTCTGTCCTGTCAACAGGGTGCTCCTGGCATTAGTGGTGCTCCTGGTTTACCTGGCCCACGTGGACCACCTGGACCCCAAGGTGCAACTGGGCCTCTGGGTCCCAAAGGTCAGACGGTAAGAAACTGCAACAGGTGTGGGCTAGATGAAATGTGAAAATGTCTGATTCAGGACCTTGCATGCTGCTATAGGTCCTTGTCTGTTCCATCCTGAGACTGCTGGCCGCATGCATGCTTGTATTTTAACAAAGATTTGGGTAAATTGAAGGTAAAGAGGCAATGAGCAGGAATCCATGGATTCTGGTAGGCCTTTGTAGCCGGTCACTACTTACAGTTGCCACTAATTTCATTGTTCCCTTAAATCTTTGAACATATGGAGAGAATTCAGAAGGGAGACAGGCTATCTTTCCTGGTCAGCAGTGCAGTGGAGTCAGGGCTTGCAGGATTGAGCCCCCAAGATTCTCTGATTCGCTGTAAATATGACATTGTCCAAAAATCGGTCTCTCTCCCAGTTTAGCTCTAATCCTCAGAGGAGCTGGGGAGGGGGAGAGAATTGCTGTTAAACTGTAGCAAGATATACCTAATATAAGCATTGAAGGCAAAGGAGGGGTTAGGTCTTGAATTAGTTATTAAGAGCTGTTAGCTTTGTAAAAGACGTGCTCCTCATTTGTCTATATGAACAAATCCAGCTGCCTGTGTTTTCGGAGAAGCAGAGGAGCCTTTCCCATTTATGGTGGGCAACAAAGAGTAGGTGGCTTGTCTCCAGAGTCAGAGCGGCATTTAGTTGTGTTTTGCAAGGGAGCCCTGGCTCTGTTAAGCTTGAAGCATCTTGAGGTGAAGAAGTGTCACAGTGCCAAAGAAACCATGTGACCCTTGAAGTCTGAAAAAGCTATATTTTTTTTGGACTAAAACTCCCTGAATCCCCCAGCCACCATGGCTGGATGGAGGATTTTGCTTATTGTGGTCCAAAACAGTAACTGTCCCAAAGGCTGGTGATCATAATCTGGAAGTATTATTAAAAAGAGCACTGGGAGATTGCAGGGACACTAAATGAATCTGTAGGTCTTCACTGCAGGAGAGGAGAGGACTCTGAAGGACTATAAGACTGCTGTCTTCTCTAAAAGTCCCAGAAGTACTAGAGAGTGAATCCCACAGAACTCAGATGGACTTAGTCCAGAGTTCTAATGCTGGCAATGGTGCCATAAAGTAAAAGAGGTCTCAGGAGATGGTTCTGTGGCTTAAGAACAATTGCAAAACGCAAATAATGATGCAGCTTGGATGGAAAATACAAGAGCGTTCCTAAATGGTTGTCAAATATGTAATGGTTTGTCTTCTAGCAAAATAAGCAACACCCCTTGCCACATCTGACCCCTTGCAGATGGCTAGACAAGGGAGTTGAGATTGTTCCGCTTGGAGGCTGGCTCTTTGAGAGTTTAAAATCTCCTGAGCCCTGAATCTCCTCTGTCTCGTGCCTCTCGTTCTAACCAGGGGTGCTTTCTTTCCCATAGTCCATAGGATCTTAACCCTTTTGCCTCTTGCTTCTCCTGACCTTTGGTGCCTACCTTTCTGTTTTTAAGGTGGGGCACCAATGAGCATCTCTATTATTGAAATGTTCTTTGGATCAGATACACAAAGGAGGCTCTCTTGAAAGTTCTGCTGGTCCAATCAGAAGGTGACACAGGAATTTAGCTGCTCTAATTCCTTCCTCTTTTTCTGTCTTCAGGGAGAACCTGGAATTGCAGGTTTCAAAGGTGAACAAGGCCCCAAGGGTGAAACTGTAAGTACTTAGTAATGTGTATAGGTGACGGTCAGGAAAGGAAGCCATGCTTTCGATATGTTGGGGCTTAATTATGTGGGGTGTGATCAACTGGAAACGTGTCTGAGCCTTCTTAACATCTCCAAATACATCTGGAGATTTGATTTGGGTGTGGACCATTGTGCTAAAGTAGGACTTCAAGGGCTTAGTGGGTAGATCACTGGCTTATTTGCAATAGGATTTCAGAGTTCTTGTTGTTTGTACTGTATCCCCAATACCATAACACGCTTTCCCTGGATTATACTGAGAGAACTAGGCATAAATTTAAGCTGCTTCAGTTCCAGTATTGGAAACAAATGGTTTCACTCAGAATGTAGTGTATGCTCTTCATAATAACCTCTGCTTGATAAATCATGGAGTTCTAGCTATTTTTAAAAGGTTGTTATCACCAGCCTGAATTTTGCCTGCCCTCGCTCTACATCACAGTATGGATGCACACTAGGCCCCCTATGGATTATCAGGTACAGCCCCTGTCAAGGACAGTGGGGGAATCGAACTCCCAACCTCTGGCTCTGCAGCCAGATGCCTAAACCACTGATCTGTCCAGCACGCTTGCTCAGTTAGCCTCTTACTCAAGTGATACAGTGCTAGGTTTTAAAGGAAGGGCAGGGGAAGAGGTCCTCTTCCACATCCTCCTTTCTGTTCCTCTCCATGGGGGAATGAGAGAAAGCTGGATTTTTTTTAGAAAAAGATTGTTTTTAAAATTTTAATCTACCACCATGGGAAATGCATGTTGGTTTGATACTGATGATCACACATGCTGGAACTGAACCAAAATGGAGCAATACTACCCACACGAAGAAAATTGTAGACCCCCAAAAATGCTGGTGGGCGTGGATGGATGAATAGCTCAGTGAGCCTCTGGTTGCAAAGCCAGAGGTCAGGAGTTTGATTCCCCACTCTGACTCCCAGGAAAAGAGCCAGCCTGTGTAGCCTCGGGCTAGCTGTGAAGTCCCACCGTGCCCCCAAGAGAAGGGAATGGGGAAAACACTTCCAGATACTTTCTAGAAAACCCCCCAAAAATGGCCACCATAAGTCAGAAATGATTTGACAGCATCTAATTACTGTATTATTAGGCATGGATAAGCGTCAAACTGACGTACAATTACCAGAACATCATGTGGTCCCTGGAAAATGAATCAAACTATCCCATTCCCAAAGTTATCCAAACAATGGGATAAAGTACCATCTGAACAATATTTTGGTCTATCTAGCCTAGAAATATTAATGCTGACTGACAGTATCTCTCCAGAGACTCAGGCAGGAGTTCTTCTAGTCTTCCCTGGAGATACTGAGGTCTGAACCTGAGACAGGAGATTGAATCTGACCACTTCTGCAAGCAAAGCATGTTCCCTTTCATGGATCTACAGTTCCCCTCCCATATGTATAGAACCTGGGGGGAAAACAATACTTCTTGTAGCTGAAAGTGTTGAGGGCACTGTAGATATTGGAATGGATGACCTGAACAAGCTATTGGTTTTAATTTTTTCATCCATAGTTGCTTCCAAGCTCAGAACAACTGCTTGAACCTGTTGAGATAAACTTCTGGCTGTGCGTGTCCAGAACTTGGAAATAATGATGATAATGCCAAAATGTTAGTTAAATGGTGAAGGCATTCTAATGTATTGGCCTTGCACTAATAGGAATTTTAATTTGTTCCTTCATTAAATAATTAAAACCTATAAGCTAGAATTGATGGAACTGGCTGCAATTAATGCACCATACATTGTTGAGTGTTGTGCTAACTATTCATGTGATTAGCCTTATATTTATTGATGAAAAAAAATTATGAATTAGGATAGAGAATTAATTTATAACAAGTTGTTTTGAAGCTTTCATTGTTTTAGGGAAAAGCAGGTTGATGGCCACTGTCCAAAATATATTTATTTAAAATATTTTTACCCCATCTGTTTCCTCAAAGACCCAAACACCTATCTTCCTTCTTGGCTTGCTAGATTTTCTAGCATGGATGTTTTGGATGCGTAGCAAAAAATGAAATAAGTTTAGTTAGGGTCAAACGCACAGTTGATATCACATTTTAAAAAATTTGGAGTCAGCAGCATACAGTTCAGGCCTAAAAAAGTTGGACTTTCAATACATGGCCTTTTTTGTGCATGAAAGAAACAGTTGCTGTAGATGTCTAAGAAGCCAGGGGTTGGAACAGGACACATCGTCCCATTCTAAACCCCCCCACAGCTGTAAATTAATTCTGCTCTGCTATTAAACCATTGCAAGGCGTTCCACGGGATTCCTGTGTGAAATATAATTGCACTGTATTGCTTTGAAAACTGCATGTTGATTTCCCTGGGGGCAAACAAGAGCCTCAGCCTTTGCCAGTGACTGTTCTGTGGTGGGTGTGGGTGTGGGTTTTGGTGCAGAAAGCCCTTGGCTCAATCGCCACCTCTCCACTCAAATGTGTAGCAGGGCTGAAAAAGACCTTTGTCAGAACCCTTGGAAAACCACAGGCCGTCAGGAACAGGCAGCATGAAGCTAGGTGGATTTGTGATCCATTCAGTATAAGTAAGTTTTGTAGGGTTGGAAAGAGAGAGGGGGAAAAAACGTTTCTCCATTTGATTGCCACAGATCTGGGTAGACCTTTGTCAGAACCCTTGGAAAACCACAGGCCGTCAGGAACAGGCAGCATGAAGCTAGGTGGATTTGTGATCCATTCAGTATAAGTAAGTTCTGTAGGGTTGGAAAGAGAGGGAAAAAAATTTCTCCATTTGATTGCCACAGATCTGGGTAGGATTAGAGATCTTGGTGATTTGCCCTTCTGGCTTGGAGGGAGACAGAGACCTCTTCTTTCAAGCAGAAATAGGCCTTAGCCTCCTGAGCAGCCAACTCTCTTTGGCTACAGACATGGGTGGCCTGTTCCATCTAGGCTCCCCTTTATACACCTCTGTGTACCTCTGTGTTCCAAACCCTCTTTCATTAGCCAGTCTAAATACAAGAGAAAGAGGTCTTGTTAAGTTGGCATAAATCTTCCTCAGAGTGTTCCTGACAGAAGGGGATTGGCACCAGCAGAAGGACCCTTTGATTTCGGTGAAGCTGTGCCAGTTTATATCACTCAGTTTACTGTCCCAATAGATTCCATAGAAATGAGGCGGATTACTTCCTCTGGGAGTCTCCGTCCCATGGATGTATTGGGTCATGTATTTCTTGGCCTAAAATAATTTTGCAGCTACTGATTTTCCACCCAGCAGAACCTCAAGGATGGATTCCGGTTCCTATGTAGGCCAAAACACTTCGTAGGATCTCTTCTAATTCAGTAACATCACCATTTAAGGTCCCAATTAGAGATGGGAAGGCTTGGGAAAAAAAAAACCTGGAAAAATTGGGGCAAAAACAGTTTTTGTCTATTCCCTCAAGTCAGTTTTCCCCAGAAAAAAATGGGAAAAAACCTATGGAGTATGGAATATGTTATTTTATAATGATAAATAACCTGGAAAAATTGGGGCAAAACAGTTTTTGTATATTCCCCCCAAGTCATTTTCCTCCAGAAAAATTGAAAAAAATAACCTGTGGAATATGGACTATGTTATTTTATAATGATAAATAATATATCTATGACAGAGTAATCAAACCGTACAACATGGAGACCTTAATGAAAGACATCCTAGACCTTATGTATTTAGGTTCTTATGTACAGTACTTTATGTATCTAAGGACTGCCAATACACTGGATGCTGTGGGGGGAGGGGAGATCTGAAGCAGACATTTTTTTGTAGGCATGAAGGAAAAAAAAAACAGAACAGGAAAGGCAGAGCTAAAATGGGAGCCTTTCCCGCCCTCTATCCTACTGAGTCAAACTATAGTGACCTACCTGACACTACCTCTCTGTTGCGATCTACACAGTTCTGTCATTGAACTGCCTGGTCAATTGGGGGAGATGTCCCAAATATCTTTTTCTAAACATAAGGATCATTGGTAAGTTCAGTTTGGCACAAATAAGTGAAAGGGGTTTAAAGAGTAACAAAGCCCATCTTCTGTGTTTGTTCCCTCCCTCCCTAGGGCCCTGCTGGCCCACAAGGCCCTCCTGGAGCAGCTGGCGAAGAAGGCAAGAGAGGTGCCCGGGGTGAGCCAGGAGCTGCAGGGCCCGTTGGACCGCCTGGAGAGAGGGTAAGTGGCATTGCTGAGGAGGAGAACCTTCCTGCATGAAGGGCAGAGATCTGTCCTCTGTGGCGAGAGCCGCTGAGCTCTGTAGTAATCATCCCACACAAGCCATGCTCTTAAGCTCACTTCAAGAGCTGCCAAGGGCCACCTGTGACAACAGGTGCCACTTTTGGCAGAGACGCGATGCAAATGTTTTGCTTTATGTCCATGGTTCCCAGCCTGGGGGAAACCAGGCGCTCTTTGACTGCAGCCCCCAGAAGCCTTCAGCACTAGCTGTGCTGGCGTGACAACTGGTGCCACTTTTGGCAGAGCGCGATGCAAATGTTTTGCTTTATGTCAATGGTTCCCAGCCTGGGGGGAAACCAGGCGCTCTTCGACTGCAACCCCCAGAAGCCTTCAGCACTAGCTTTGCTGGTTGGGGTTTCTGGGAATTGCAGTCCAAGAACACCTGGAGAGCCCAGGGATTAGAATCACTACTTTACGTGGAGCTCTGTGGGGTGTCAAGTTCAAGCAGCTGCTGATGTTGAGGCTGAGCAGGTATAGACCAAGTTGGCAGCTCCAGTGGAGTGGAGGCCTGCGAGGAGGAGTTCTTACTAGGTCCAAAGACCCAGATAAAGATGAGCCAGGAAGCCTACCATAAAGTGTGGAAAGAAGGTATGCCCCTGAGAAGGGACAGGTTCTGAGTGAGACAGAAACAACTGAGCATAGAATCACGAGAGGCTGAAGAGAGCCGAGTGAGAGACTGTGGGAACTGGTCTCAGTGCCTGACATAAGACAAGAACAGGGGAAAGCCTGAAGACTTGTGGCAGAAAATAGTGGTAGTTTGATTATTTCTTTATTGAGACCAGCATTTCCTGTCCCCACCATGCCAACAGTATGACATGTTTTGGCCTCTTAGGTTTGTACCATAGTAGCTTATGGATGCAGCCTATAATCTTTTGTACCTTTTCTGTTATTAATGCTCAGAAGTAAAATATATTTCTCAGTACAAGTGCACAGGCTTTAAAACTATAGTACACATTTTGTCATGGGCTTTGCTGCAGAGTAGACGCTTCACAGTAAGCTGCAACTAGTTGCGGTTGCTTGTCAGGTATCCCTTTTGTGGTTTTTAAATTTGCAGGTGCCTCATTTGTACCATTCAAATTTTGCCTTAATACCTCTAAAATACTTTAGGTGAATAAGTACATAGCATATACTTTTAGGCTGCTGGGAGTTTTGCTGTGCAAACTGTAAGGCTCTTAATTTACCACAGGTTATGGGACTTAGATCCAGGATAAACCCATGCTAAAGCTTAGCAAATAGCATAAGAGTGTGCCCCTATTAGCTTACTCAGTATTTGTAATGCCTCCAGTGGTAGGTTCTTGACTCTCCTGCTTCCCTGTGGTAAATGAGCCATGGGTGTTTGATGAGCTGAATTCCTGGTTTAATTGTTGATAATATTGTCCCGGTGTCAAATAGTCCCTAAATAGTTGCATTTCCTAATTTTCAAGATTACGTTCTCATTCTTCTATTTATTTCCCTTCCCTCCCCAGGGTTCTCCTGGAAATCGTGGCTTCCCAGGTCAAGATGGATTAGCTGGTCCCAAGGTGAGTGTTTGAACCTGCTGCTCTCCTAGTTGAATAAAAGGACAAATGCAGGGGTTAGAATAAATGTAAACGTCTTTTTCTGCTTCTCTGTGATTCTTCGGCAGCTGCCGCAAAGGAGCTGCCTTTTCCTGTATGCTTTGCTTTCAACACATGAAATTCTGACAGCTGCAGTGATGGGGGCTGTGTTCTGGGGTGGTGAGGGGCTGAAATCATAGTGGCAATAAAAGTCCCCACCCAGACCTTGGGCTGCCTATGGGTACCAAAGAGGTCAAAACCTTCATCATATGTTCCAGGGATTCCTATCTCAGTCTTTCACTAAAAACATATTGGAGCCCCAAACATACATGACACAGGAAAGTAGATTTGCATAGTATGTCAAGTTAATTAGCTAGTCAGAATGCAAGCTAGCTATTTGCAGTAGTAGCATTGCTTGATTTGTGTGTGATGTGGGCATCTAATTGGCTTTTATTAAAAGTGCTTCTGAACTTTTTGTAGTCGTAGAACACTCGTGTATTGCACTTTATCAGTTGTTACTATACACATGTATGTGATGCCCCATCCAGGGGCTTTCAACTTGTGTTGACCGTATGAATTAATAACTTCTAAAAGGTATTGTTAACAGCCCAGGTCTGGCAAACTAAAGGCCACGGGCTCCTTTATTGAGTCAATCCATCCAATCCAGATTAGGTCTTTCTCTCTTCCTGCTACTTTCAGTGTTTCCTTACATTATTGTTCTTCGCAGTAAGTCTTGTCTTCTCATGATAAGATAGAAGCCCAATCATAAATACCTGCTCGCTCTTTTATTAAAACTGTTCGCTTCTCAGTTTTGTTTCATTAGCGTCCTCAGCTGCCTTATGGAAGTATACTTAATAAAAAAAACCTTTATGATGTCACAACCATTGAACAGTTTTCAAAATGGCTCCAATGAGTGGGCCAGAATGCCCAGAGACCCCTGGATGCAAAAACATTGACCTGATTGCAGTAGGGATTGGTTTTCCTGACATTCTGAGAAGAACCTTTGCTTCATCTATTTCTGTTCCCTCTCTTCTGAACAGGGCGCTCCTGGAGAACGTGGACCTCCTGGCCTGGGGGGGCCCAAAGGAGCCAATGGAGATCCTGGACGTCCTGGAGAACCTGGCCTCCCTGGCGCTAGGGTGAGATACAAATGGGGGCTTCACAAATTATGGAGGCTATGCCCAGTGGGCTAGCCATTCCCCGCCAGCATGTGGCAAACATCACTCGCTCATCCTGAGAAGGTCTGCCTTCAGCGGGATTCATGCTTTTTATATAATTCTGTGGAAAGATGTTGTAAAAGATACCTGATCTCTACCCAGTAAAGAAAAAAAAATCTTTCTTTGTGGAGAAAAGTGAAGGAGCCTTCGAACTGCTACACAAGATGGGTGGACCATCAATGAAGTGGGAATGGTCATGATGATGGTGGTGACAGTGATGATCAAGATGAATGACCTTTGGATAATACATAGGTTTTCCAACACTTTTGTGGCACTGTTCTTATGCCTGCCACAATACATGTATTGATCTATGTGTTTCTGGCCTATGACAAGCAAATATTTCCCTCATCACTGTACTTCTACTTCTATGCTGGAGGAAACTTTGCCTACAGTAAATCTCTTGTCACACCCAATTAATAGATTCAAAAGCCGGTTCTTTGTTCTGTGCACGCATGGGGGAGCAGTGAATAAGAACAAACTTATACATAAACATAAGAAGGATCCATTCAGGAGAGGCAAATGAAAGTTGGCAGGAACCCAGACTGTGTGAATTATAACCAGAAGATCGCACAGTGCACATACAACTTGTATGTGGTCTATTAGGCCAGATAGGCAGGGTATAAATTAAATAAGTAAGTAAGTAAGTAAGTAAGTAAAAATGTAAGGTGGCCCATTTATTTTTTTGGATCTCATTTGATAGTTTTGTCGGACAAAGCCAATGTGTCAAAAACATGTCATCCAGAATTCGTGGCCATGGCCTGCCCATAGAGCTAGTTCCTTCTGCCACCTTCCTTTCCATGAAATCTAATAGAAGGTCACCTGTGACCTCACGCCAGGATGTTCTGCATCCTCTCATCTCTGGTCTCCACCATGGACGGCTGCTGGCGAGGGGTGAGGAGAGTGGATAGCTGTGATGCTGAGCCATAGAGGAGTTATACTAGGTTTTGGGGAAATGGGGGGACTGTCATTTCAGCAGATGACCACACATTTAGAGTGACTTCTCTTCTCATTCTCAGAACCCCTATCCTCTTTTACTACCTGTCATTCTCCCTGCAGAACAGCAGAGTCCAGTAGAAGTGACTTTGGCACTCAGTTGTGCCATAAAAACAGGAGGGGTGGGTTGCTCTGTTCCTTCTCTCTTTGAGGACAATATGCCAAATATTAACCTGCAAAAGCAGAGAACTTGTTAGAGAAGAGCAATACCTTTTCCCCCCATCTTAAAAAAAATTATACACTTCCTTCTGTATTCAGAATAATGGGCAAATCTTTTCCATCACCCACCCTTTCATTAAGATCTGCCAGATCTTGTGAAACAGGAGCAAATGCCAAGCAGGACTTTTCCCACTACAGAGCAGCTGCCCTTTGTCTTTCCTCCATTCCCTTCTTGTGAAGCGAGCTGGCATCCCACTGTGCTCTTGAGTGGATGGGACAAAGAGGTCGATCCCAGTACCTCCTTTTCCATTGGTTTCCCAGGCCATTTACAGATATAGTGTAGTATTCAGAGGTGAGATATTTTTAATTTGTATTTGGTGTTCTTACGCCATACTGTCTCTTTTTATGGGCTTGTGGGATTATCTGTGGCTTCATGGAGATATCTGATACAAACAGCTTTGCAAGATCTGTACGCCTGACTTTCTGCTTCATTGATTATGAACACTTCTAATTCAGATTCCTCTTTAGCTAAACAATATTTCATATTCTCTTAGTTCATATCAGGAATATCAGTTGAAGCTTCTTAAAGAAGTTTTAGGTTTTCTTCATTCTTTTGCCCAGGATCAAGGTTTTGGCCACAGCAAAGGTGAAAACAGCTTTTTTGTCTTTATATGTCACGAACAATAAATGATTGATGTCAGATTAACTAATTCATATCTCAGCTAAAGATATCATATCGGTTGTCATGTTTATTACCTTGGTTATCCCAAAGAAAAGCACAGAGTATCTGAAATTCATTGGGCCACTATCTTCTACTGAGCTAATAACAGGTTAATTAAGGGCAGTGAACCATCCGGAAAAGATACCATCTGAAACATTTTGGATCATTTCCCACATCATTTAGCATTCTACTAATGTGAAGTTAATACACATTGTTGGTGCTGCAGTCATTCCTTTCAATCTTCTTTACATCTGAGGAATATTTTTCATTTCCTTGAGACTAAAATATGAACACAATATCAACACTGGGCAATTTTCTGGTACAGGTAATTGATTTTATGGGACAAGATCTGAAAGACATCTTAACTAACCTATCTTCTCTGTCTTGCTCCTAGGGTCTTACTGGTCGCCCTGGCGATGCTGGTCCTCAAGGAAAAGTGGGTGCACCGGTAAGTGCTGTTCTTTTTATCTGGACTCAGTTGAAATAACTGGGTAATTGATCTTGAGGGGGAAGAGAGGTGGTAGGGGAGTCTTGAGCAGAGGAGTGAACAGTGAGTAGGAGATAACTTGAGCAAATCATTAGTATGTCACTGCAGAACCTGAAGTAGTAGATTGAAAAAGGATTGCAAGAAATAGATGCAGGCTGTCTTGTGGGGAATGGCAGAAAGAGTGGGTTTGGTTTTGAAAGCATTCTATTGGGGTCAAATGTGTTAGAGCAGTGGATTTAAGAGTTTTAAGTGATACATAGGACATTTTGAGGGAGGGGCAGCTCTAGAAATGTGTGTTTAAATGATGAGCGTTATGTCTTGAAAGTGTATGTTAAGGCATAAAAGATAACAAAAATCACAACTGGCATCAGGTTTATGCTTGTTATCTACAGGAAAGAGATTCAAAAGAAATTAAAATAAAGCTGAAGAGTGTCTAGTCTTCCAGCAGATCAAGGGCACACTGTTTTGGATGAGTTCTGGCATTTTCCAGTACTATTTCTGAAGCATGTCTGTTTCTGCATTCCTATACAGGGTGCTCCTGGTGAAGACGGACGACCTGGCCCACCTGGTCCACAAGGTGCCCGTGGTCAGCCTGGCGTCATGGGTTTCCCAGGCCCGAAAGGTGCTAACGTAAGTACACCTGCTCTCTGCAACTATTGGTAGCACGACCGAAATAGGACTATATAAAAAGAAATGAGACGTACCTAGATTGTAGAATAGTTACCTGTTGTAGTTGGAACAGCAGATATTTCCTGGGCCATTGTCAAGTTTCAGGCATGCTGATTGCCTTTATGGACCCTTACTTACCTTGTTTGGTGTGCTGATGCATCCTGCCACTCTCCAAACTGGGCAGCTGGTGCTGTAAAACCATGCACGTTGGTTATAAAAACAGGTAGAAGTTGAACAGGATGGAAGAAGGTAGAGTCCAGGTGGTAGAGATACCTTTCTCTCTTCACTAGGTACATGCCCAGCTTTTGCCAAAAGCATATCCGCTGCCATCTCTTGTTTTTCTTTCCAACTAGGGCGAACCTGGTAAAGCTGGCGAGAAGGGACTCCCTGGCGCTCCTGGCCTAAGAGTAAGTAGGTTTGAATGCAATTCTGTAGTTGCTCTTCTGCTACAAAAGCTGAAGCTTCTTAGTCTGTCCCTGCTTGCTGAGAAAAGATGCCACCCTCTTCTTCCTTTGTCTTCATTATTCAAGCACAGCCAATATTTATCGTCAAATAGAGTGCAACAACATTTAGCTCTAGACGGGACTGCACTCTTGTGAATAACGGTGATAGCATATGCAGCGTACAGCTGGCTCATAATCAGTTTGTATTTTGTAAAGACACACTTAGGGAAGGAAAGGTGGAACAGCTGCACAGTATCTCTTGATTTATTGTGCTTAGCACTGCCCATCTTCAGTTCACTGCTATGGGTCATCTGGATCCCTTTTCTCCTCTTTAAAAACCCACTATGTTCACATAGGCATCTCATGCCTATGTATTTTGAAATACCTCATGTGTAGCCACAGGAATTCTGTATTTAATAGGCAGAGAAGGGGCACCTGAAATGCTTCCTGCTCTCAGTAAGGGAGCAGTACACTGTCGTGAAAGGGAAGCAAAAATCCTAGAGTTGCCGAAGAATGATAAACTTTGGCATTTTCAGCCAGCACAAGCAGCTTATTGACTGACTGGATATCAGTGCTAATGCTCTTTCTGAGCATCTCTTTGAAGGCCAACAGGCTTTAAAGATGCCTGTTACAGACCAGACGACATCCTGTGTGGCAGCCGTCCTTCATCGGGAGCAGAGCAACATAGTTTTCTTCTTAACCCAGCGGGACAGGCGGATACCCTTTGTGCGGAACGGGTCAGCAGTAGAGTAGACAAAGTCAATCCATTCTTCCTGCCAGCCCTGTATACTTTTGGATCGGTGGGATGGGGATGAAGATCCTCCACCGAGACCTCTAGTTCAAGTGTCATCTCTATCTTTTTTCTCTTTATTAGGGACTTCCTGGCAAAGATGGTGAGACAGGAGCCGCCGGACCACCTGGACCTGCTGTGAGTCTATGTTGTTTCTCTGTGCATTCTTTTAGATACAGAGCAAGAACACCCGAGGAGGAAAGAGCGATGTGTGTGTGGATCTGTAGGAGAATGAATGAATGGGGAGTTTTCTCTCCCCAGCCATCAGAGAAGAATTTGCTTCTCTAAATAGCTCAGTGGTTGAGGTCTCTGGCTGTGGAGCCAGAGCGTGGGAGTTTGATTCTCCCATAGTGACTCCTTGACAGAGGCTGGACTCAAGGATCCACAGGGGCCCCTTCCAGTGCTGCAGTTCAGTGATGATGACCATCAACATACATACTTCTTTTCCCGTGCCTGGGTGGGTGGGGTAGGGAAAAAGCTCTTTGCTCCTTCTGGAAGGAATTGATTTGTAGTGTGTGTGCCTGCATCTGCATGAGTGGCTTGTGACGCTGGTGCCAACATCACTTGTGGCCCTTGTAATGAATATATACCATGACTTAGAGGAACCGGCCTTTATGAAAGTCAGTGGTACCTTGCTTTTTCTACCCTGTTGATTATAAGCAGTGGGGTTTAATCTGGCAGGAAAGGAAGCTGAAAGTCCCTGTCCTAGTATAGGTTATAGTTTGGATGATAGGGTATCCCTTGTGCTTACTTCCCATTTGTTTATATGGGGATGATTTCACATCAATAAGATTTACCTTCTTTACCACGTTGGAAGCAGAGTTGGCCGTAGAGTGGCAACCAGGATGTGGTTAAGACTGAAAGCTCCATCCGTCCTAGTGAGCATATCCAGTGAGTAAGGGGTGCTAAGGATTGCAGTCAAACGGTGTTTGAAGGCCACACATTGCCCTTCTTTAATTTACAGCTTGCCACCTTCAAATTCTATCCTTAGAACAGCCCAGTGAGTGTTGGTAAATTGCTCAGGCTCACCATGTAAGTTTCCTAGCTTGATTGGGATTTAAATCTGTCCAGACCTAGCCCAGATGGTGCTTCTGTGTTGAGTCTTCAGCGTACAAATGGCAAAGTATTCCACCTTATGCTTGTGGACTGTGGGTTTATCCTAGCTTTCTTCCAATTTGAGCCATCATCTTCCAGCCTCGCTTTTAGTCTTGTTGGGGGAGGTTAGAACTGTGGACAGTATTGTTCAGAGCGGGGAGATTGTTTTGTTGCTCTCCTGCCTCCTTGCAGTTGAAGGTTAATATGATTATAACTTCCTTGCTGTTCTTCTAAATCCATACCGTTATAACTCCTGCAAAATTGGTTTGACATGAAACCACAGCGAGTCAAGAGAAATTAATGGTTTACACAATCCAGATATCCTTGCTGTTCAAATACTAAGTTCAACTGGTTGTTCTGGGTTTTTCGGGCTCTTTGGCCGTGTTCTGAAGGTTGTTCTTCCTAACGTTTCACCAGTCTCTG